CTCTATATAATATACACCGCTATCTCTCACTCTGCTCCTCTCTATATAATATACACAGCTATCTCTTACTCTGCTCCTCTCTATATAATATACACAGCTATCTCTCACTCTGCAACTCTCTATATAATATACACCGCTATCTCTCACTCTGCTCCTCTCTATATAATATACACAGCTATCTCTCGCTCCGCTCCTCTCTATATAATATACACCGCTATCTCTCACCCTGCTCCTCTCTATATAATATACACCGCTATCTCTCGCTCCGCTCCTCTCTATATAATATACACAGCTATCTCTCGCTCCGCTCCTCTCTATATAATATACACCGCTATCTCTCACTCTGCTCCTCTCTATATAATATACACAGCTATCTCTTACTCTGCTCCTCTCTATATAATATACACAGCTCTCTCACACTACTGAATCTAACCCCAAAGAGTTATTTTTTTTATTGTGTAGTGTTTTATATTTTCTGTCTTTTTTTTTTTTTTGTAATCCTGTTTAATTTTTTATTTTAAGTTGTGTCATCATTTAATAGAATTTTATTTGGCCTTCTTTGAGGCTGAAGAAAAGATGTTTTAGAAGAAATAGGACATCTAATTGTATGTAGGGAGCTTTGGGACTCCTTGGGGAACACTTAAGGACAAATACCTGACTTTTGTAACAGATATTTAGATTTATTCGACTTCCTTACTTTTATTAGGGTGAGGGATTAGGTATTTTTTTTTTTTGTGGTGTGGGTTGGCTAGGGGCATGGATAGCCCTAGCCACAAGGGGAACACTTACGAACATACGGGGGACATGGAAAATGGCAAGTTCACCTCCTTTCTATAATTATTTAGAACACTTATCCACCATTTATGGGTGCTAGTGTAACACTAGGCCCCCCTCTGTTATCAACATTAAATGCACATACATTGTATGTGTCTTTGTAAGTGCATAAATATGTGTGTATGTGCCCATTTTGATGTTGATCATATAAATTACAATATAGATATTTGTTTTACCTACAGGGATGATGGTAATCACCTTACCACACACCATCCTGAGACTGAGGCGCATTTCAACAATGGTATAGTAGAAATAATAGTTTATTATAACTATGAACATTTATTATTATTATTCATATAGCGCCATCAGATTCCATAGCGCTGTACAATGGGTGGACTAACAGACATGTAATTGTAACCAGACAACTGTACGCACAGGAACAGAGAGGCGGAGGGCCCTGCTCAATGAGCTTACATTCTATAGGGAGTTAGGTATAGTGACACAAAGGGTAAAAATAAGGGTACGAAGTAGGTTGTTAGAAAAGTATTCACTGAGTGCTTAGTAGGTAATTTTTGAAGGTTGCAGGAGAAGAGTCATGGGGGATTGGGGATAAAAACCTGCACACAGTTTCATTGATATGCTTTCTTGAAGTGAATTTTCAATGGTTTTTTGAATGAGTGGAGACTGTGTGTAAGTCTTATGGCAAAGCGAAGGGAGTTCCACAGAAGAGGTGCAGCCCTGGAGAAATCTTGGAGGCGAGCATTAGAGGTGGGATTACGGACAGAGGATATACGTAGGTTTTTGGCAGATCGTAGGGGCCTCGACGGGACATACATTACAGTTACATGTATTAGGGAGGATAGGTAGGTTGGAACAGCATTATGTAGGGACTTGTAAGCAAGCACCATAATTTTAAATTGAGCACTATATCTAACTGGAAGCCATTGCAGGGACTGACAGAGCGGGTAGGCGTGGTAGGTGCAAGGGGACAGGAAAATGAGCTTCGCCTCCGCATTCATTATAGATTGCAGCGGTGCAATCTGGAACCACGTCAAACCATTGAGAAGTGTATTGCAGTAGTCAAGGCGAGAGAGAACAACAGCATGGACCAGCACCTTAACCGCATCTGGTGTTAAATAGGGGCGGATGCGTGCTATGTTTTGGAGATGGAAGCAACAGGATTTGGCGATTGATTGGACATGAGGGAGTAAAAAAGAACACCCAGGCAGCGAGCCTGTGAGGTAGAGGTGATGGTAGCACCGTTGACTTGGAGGGAGGCAGGCACGGGAGTACTAACACTTGAGGGAGGAAGGACCAGAAGTTCTGTTTTGGACAGTTGAGTTTAAGGAAGTGAGCAGCCATCCAGTTGGAAATCGCAGAGAGGCAGTTAGAGAAACGAGTCACGATGGGTGGAGAGAGATCAGGAGAGGACAGGTAGATTTGCGTGTCATCTGCATAGAAATCATAACGGAAGCCAAAGGAGCAGATGAGTTTACCAATGGAGGCAGTATAGATAGATAACAGTAGGGGACCAAGGGCAGAACCTTGGAGGATGCCAACAGAGAGTGGTTGGGGAGAAGTCAGAGAAAGAAACACTGAAAGAGCGGTTGGAGGAGCACCAGGAGACCAAAATTACGGAGAATGCGAAGAAGTTGTTGATGATCAACAGTGTCAAAGGCAGCAAAAAGATCAAGGAGAATTAGGATAGAGTAATGGCCGCGAGATTTACCAGCAATTAAATTGTTGGATATTTTGGTCAGTCGTTTCGACAGAATGACCAGCGCGAAATCCAGACTGAAGGCAGTCAAGGAGAGAGTTGGATTCGAGAGTCAGTCATTCTGGTATACACAACTCTCTCGAGGATCTTGGTGTCAGGGTGGCGGTCCGAAGACCGGGACCCCTGTGCCTGATGTAGAAGATTAGCGGAGTCTTCAGCATGGAAGTGGATAAGTATGGCCTGGTGCAGGGTAACCACACGCCCCCTGGTGTTGAGCACAAGCGTTTGAGCAGCCACCAACTAGAACTCTGATGGAACTTTAGTGGAAGGCAGAGCAGATGAATTACTGATATGTATCCAGTTCTAGAAACAAGGTAAGACTAGAATAGGCACCAAACAAGAAAACAAGGCAAAACTAGCAGAAACGAAGAAGGATAGAAAGCTGAACCCAGAACATGTACACAATACTTAAGGGAAACATTAACAGAACAGGGGCAGGACCGTACATGGATTGGGAATACAAAATAAGACAAACGATATAAGGCAAAACAAGAGGAGACAAAAGTAAGTAACACGAGATCAGGAAGGAGGTTCAGCGCTGATAGGAAAACAGAGAATATGACAGCAAGGCAGCACACCTATGGAAAAGGGGAATCCCCTCTAAGCCCCTTGGAATACAATGGAGAGAAAAGCACAAATAAGGGTGCGCCTAAGACAAGTAGAATGAGTGTATAAAAATATGTATCAGAGAGTCCAAGCAGCGATACCTAGAAAGTCCAAATATAAATAATCCACATATGCAGGAGGTAGTCCTAGTGCTACATAAAATGGTATGTGAAGTCCCAGATGTATATCCGCAGCTTCAAAATGGATATGTGAAGAAAACAGAAGACAAGGGAAACTCCAATGGTATAGTATGAACGGTAAAATAATATTGTATATAGAATAGTAGAACTACTCACAATATTCAGAGCTTATATCCAGCTCTTGTGTAAATGGCACGTAGTGGAATAATCCCCACTCAAGGATATACGTTGCTCCTCTTTTGTTCTTTAGCAGAGTACTTTGGTGGAGTAGTCCAGCTCGAGGTAAAAGAATAAAATATAGTGCTCACTGTATAGTTGATAAAATGTAAAAACAGAATAAAATATACTCACGGTATATAGAGCAGACGTACTGCTCGGTGGATGGCGTATGGGTGGTATAATCCCCACCTTAGGATTCTTGGTACTCCAATATGGACAAAAAAGTAGTAGTAGTCAGGTCTGAATAAAATAAACTTGCAAATAGTAAAATAATAAAATTATACTAAAAGAAGGTAATATAATACTAAGGTGGAAAGAGGAATGTGGCAACCAAATGTATAATAGCCAAATATTCCTTTATTAACACTTAGATTATATAAAAAGTTCCTATACGCGTTTCGCCACAATAGGCTTCATCAAGTAGAAATTTATAAAAACTTAAGCCTATTGTGGCGAAACGCGTATAGGAACTTTTTAGAATGAGTGTATAAGAAAGGGGCGGATGTGAGCTATGTGTGTAAGAAAGGGGCGGATGTGAGCTATGTTTTTAAGTTGGAATCTACAGGATTTGGCAACAAACTGGATGTGAGGCTCAAAGGTGAGGCCAGAGTCAAGTACTATGCCAAGACAGCGTGCTTGCAAGGATGGACTTATGTGGATACCACTGACTTGAAGGGAGAGCGAGAGAGGAGGATCAGTATTAGGAGGAGGAAAGACAAGGAGTTCAGTTTTAGAGAGGTTAAGTTTCAGAAAGCGTGAGGACATCCAGTCAGAGATGAAAGAAAGGCAGGCAGTGACACGTTGCAGGACGGCAGGGGAGAGATCCAGGGAGGAGAGATATATTTGGGTGTCATCAGCGTTCAGGTGGTAGTGGAATCCAAAAGAGGCAATAAGTTTGCCAAAGAGGCAGTATAAAGCGAAAATAGAAGGGGACCTTAGACAGAGCCTTGGGGAACTCCAACCAAGACAGGACTAGGGGAGGAGGTATCCTTGGAAAAGGAGACACTGAATGAGCGTTGGGAGAGATAAGAGTATGAGGGGGGGGAGTGCTAGTGGAGAGAAAGTGGGGTAGCCAGGAAGAAAAGTGTTCAATGAATAGTCTAGGATGACCGGGGGGCAATAGATGATGGCAATTCTTCAAGGATTGGGCTTAAAAAGGCGGACAGTGTGAACTTCATAGGAATTAAAGTAAAGGGCAGGGGCAGGGAGGATAGGTTGAAAGGTACATTGAGGGGAGAGAAGGATGCCTAATAATAGTTGAGTCTGGGAGTGTGGGAGAATTGTAGTCCACCGAAACATAAAGAAGCGGGAGTAGCGGTATAAGAGGTGGACGCCCAGGTCTCAGTGAGTGCCAGTATTGTGAGTGAGCTAGAGATGACAAGGTCGTGTATAGCTGTTGATTTAATATTACTACAGATTGAATGGGCGTTCCAGAGTTACACTTATTGTATAGTTAATGATGATTTTTATCAATTTTTAATCCAGAATCGGTTTATGAGAACAATTCACATGCGGAAACTGGAAAAGTGGTAATAAATGTAATCCTTATTCTCTTTTTTTCCTTATTTCATCTAATATCTTGTTTATCTCTTAACTACCTCTCTTTCACTCCTTTATTATATAAACATGTTCTTCTTCTTCCTCGGGTTACTTCCACATTTTTTTTCTCTTCCCTTTTCTCTTTCCATATCCAAACATGTTTTAATTATCATCTCAAATCTCCTCTGCTCTTTTGTCCTCTCTACCTGCTTTTTTTTATCTCTCTCCTTTTGTATTTGTCTTTATCCTGTCTTTTAGTCTCTTGTGTGCTGTTGTTGTTTATTCTAATTTTTTTCTCTATCATGTTTCTGATGGTTTTCATCCTTTCTGCACTATGGCTCTCTTTCTTTTGTTTCACCTTCCTCTTGTTGTATCCATGCAGGATGCTGGAGGGGTTCTGTATGCCCAATTAAATATGCCACCAAGTAACGATGAAAAATTAAAGAGAAAAACCCAACTTGAGAAGGAACCCCAAGTCCTCTATGCTGCTGTTAAAACACCTCAATCAGACAATACATATGCTACGGTTAATAAAATATGAGATTATTATTATTATTATTATTAGTAGTACTAGTAATAGGATAATTTATGTGGTGATATTGTCAAATATAAAATGTCCTGAGACATGGTCAGGTTCTTTCTCTCCAGTTAGAGACACATCTACATGTTTTAATTTTTATTTTATTCAACTATTGGGAAAGTCTTGAGAATATCTGGGAAATGTCTCAAAAACATAAATGTTATCCACTTTAGTAGCTCTAGTCAGCCAGGTGGAACCAGAATGTATTTTCTTCTAAATTGAAAACTGTGAGATAAGGTCTGTTCTTCACTAAAAGACCACTTATTAGTGGGGGTTCTATAGGGAGGTATGAATGTGTATGCTATTGTGACAGAACCAACTGCCTGTGAAATACTTTTATTGTTCCCTCATTCGTCTGTTTCTTCGGCTATTTCCCTGTCCATTCAGCCCCAAACGCTTGTTTCTTTTATACCGAACAATTCACCGAACGGCCGGCCACCCAGCATGGAAGTGTGCTGCTGGTTAACCTTTTGGCCTCATTAGAACATTGTGGTTAACCGCAGACACTTCCTAATTGTCAAACGCCGACCACGAGGTGGCGGCCATCTTGGACATACGAATGCCGGTCCTTTCGGTAGTTTCTTTTCACGAATAGACTTATCCCAGATTGCTGTACCATGGAGCCCATTCGTATAACTAAAGACTATGTGAAAGACTTTGGCTCCATGGCGATTGAACAGTGTGGGTATAGGATCTGAGCGCCATTCGGTAATAATGTGCCCTCAGATCCAAGCTATCTGGGGATGTGTTGAACGTATCTATTGCGTTCGGTAGTTTTTGTATTATGTATTTTTATGTAGTTTCATTACTCTGTATAAAATGGAGTTTAGCCTCTGTCTTCGGAGGATTTATTCATATGGTGATTCTCGTTCGGATGTTTGGAGAGTGTATGATTCGTATGGTTCCTGTTCGGCTGATTGTTGTGATCGGTAGTTGCCTTCATATTCGGGAAAGGAGCATTTTACACGGTTTTAACCCTTTTTATCCCAGGGGTATCGTAACAACTATCACTCCCAGTATCATGTGTGGCATTGGGCTGGTACAACACTAGGTTTGATCATCTCTGGAGGGAGTAAATGTAGAGCTGGGTTGCATGCTAATTAACCTAGGTGTCTGCCTAGGACCTGGCTTGTGATGTTAAGCATGTGTTTAAGCAAAGGGAGATCAAATGCAGCAATTTCCTTCATCTCCTTCTTAACTTGTGGTAAGGTATTCCAAAAGAAGTAAAGAGAGACAGTGGGCTTTTGTGAAGGTCCTTAGGGCACATATTGCTAATTTTAGCATCTTTATGCATTGCTATTGTTTTTATATTCCACCCTTTTATAATCATGTTTGTAATCTATATACCTTATAAATAGGAAAGTAAAACAGCAAACCAACACCTTAGTGCTGGTATATGACCACTTCTGAACATGTTTAGATCTTCTATATAAAAAGTAATACACATAAACAGATTATCATCCTAATAATTTCAGGCAAGATATATATCACCCATCTATTCTTAAAGAATATAATATGAAAGGCTGCGTAGGATGTAGTCAATACACAGTGATGTCTGGATTGTAGGTGGGGTTTCCAGGGGACATACGTCTCCCTTGTGCTGTAGGGAATTATATGTAAAGACTAGCGATAAGGCTCCATTGGAATCAATAAGAGGTGGATACATGTTAAATGAAGAATAATTCTACTAAAACTAGCTTTGTAACAGGAACAAAGTTATATTATTTCCCTTGATGATCATTAAACTCCTTCGAACCACGCTATACAAATTACAAGGCTTTTACAGAATGTTAGCACTTTAGAAATGCCAGTAATAAATAAAATACTAGACTTTAATGGAAAAGAGCACTAAGCACAAGTGAGCCTTTCTGGGTGTAAATGTGAGTTTAACTGTCCTGCATGTGAGCTCGATAGGATAATAATGAAATTGAATGATCTATGTTTGTTTGTATGTACATTTTGGGGGCTATATTGATATGTTGAGTTATACAATGTTTCTTTTTCTGTACTGTTCAATTCATACCTATCTGACCAGCAATATACAGTATTCAAATAAAATATTTGGACCATAATTTATTTGATGTTTTTCTTACCCCATCCCTTGAACCATTGGGGGTTAAAATGTGAAACCTTATTATCCAAAGATGGCTGTTGGGTATCATCTTGTGGTTACTGTTTTTATTGAGTAAGAAGACTTCATGTCCAGCAGAAAAGTCATCATCATTGACCACCATATTATTTTGCCATATTCTATAGCGTTGCAGTGTAATAATCCACTAGAAGTACAATCAATTAAATATCTTGGAACACACCGGTCATTCAAAGCAGACTTTATTGGATAATGGAGCAGCAACATTTTAGCTTTAAATTAGAGCCTTTCTCAAGCCTCGATGTTGTCACTCCTTTATCCAATAAAGTCTGCTTTAGATGACCTGTGTGTGCCCAAACCTTTCTTTGATTTACTTTATGAATAGAAATGAAGCCACTCCAGTCTTACTGGCACCACAAGAGAAGTCTATATATATATATATATATATATATATATATATATATATATATGTATGTATGTATGTATGTATGTATGTATGTATGTATGCTTGTGCAGTCCTCTACTTTGTGGTTTTATACCTGGGAAGTAATGTAGAAATCAAGGACTATCCCAAAAGCAATGTATTGCAGCTTTGACAATTAATTTATTATCAGATGTTTGTTTCCAAATCATTAATAAATATTGACCCATTTCAGAATTTCTGATAATCACATGAAATGTTTTAGCAATGCTTCACATGCAGAGAAAACACTTCTCACTGCCAGTTATACCATATAAAAGAAATGTATAATATACATTATACCATATACTATGTGAATTTCTCGAAGGATAGCAGAAGTCAATCTGCACTATTTAAACCTTGTTAGGAATGTGCACAAACTTACCAAGGAAGAGTTTGATGAAGTAAATGCCAGCCAACACGATTTGAAAACCAGATTTTCAATTTGAGAATGTATTGCACATTCGCTTCACAGTGAATCAGTTCACTCTCAGACTCTGACATCTGCCCATTCACTCTTAGAATCAGTCCGTTTACAGGGACACTATAGGCACCCAGACCACTTGATCTCATTGAGGTGGTCTAGGTGCAGTGTCCCTGTTCTCTTAACCCGCCTTCTCTTTGAGAAACTGCAATGTTTACATTGCGCTATCTGGGGTCCATGAAATTACGCTGGACATTCTCATGCTTCTAGCATCCTGAAAATTGGGGGTAATTGTGCTGGAATCAGGTATTGAATAAAAGTTTTTTGTTTTTTTTTTACTATTTATTTCCCACCGGGGGTGCCACAATGGATGTGGTGCCAGAGTGTGTTAGGAATACAGTTTTGTAAAGTGTAATAATCTGTCTGACTGAGATTCCATGAATCGACCTATTCATCCTATCAATCTCTAAATTCACACTAACATCAGTGTTATTTCTAAGTGGTTACCAGCTTTATACACCCCTCCCACCCCCCAACCTGTGCAGTCATGTGGCAGATATTAGTGGATTTTAGGTGATTTGCATTGTGTATGAGTTTCCCAGAGCTTCACAACAATATAGCACAATATGTGCAGTGTGCATAAGTGTCTATTTCTGACAGCGACTCCCTCCCTCTCCCAGTCACGTGTGGTGTTCCCCAAGGTTCCATTCTTGGCCCCCTACTATTTACATTATTTATAAATGATCTGCATAATGTCTGCAAATTCTCAAATGTACACATGTACGCAGATGACACAGTAATCTATGCAAGCAAATCCGATCTACTGCAGCTTGAGGTTGTGCTCCTAGACCAGTTCACAGAGGTAGAAAAGTGGATCGCAAAAAAACACTCTTTCTGAACACTGACATACTGTCACAATGATCTTTGGAACAGTACCTAAATTACACAAATTACACAATTCCCACCTATCAATCAAAACAAATACAAATGGCACACTGATCGCAGTCCACTCTTTCAAATACTTGGGTATGATATTAGACCCCAATCTATCTTTTGGCCTGCACATAGAAAAGCTTGGATCTAAACTTTATCCAAAACTAGGTGCCCTGTACAGAAACAAATCCTGCCTAAGCCCTACAGTAAAGGAAAAGATTGTACAGCAAATGCTGATGCCAATCATTGATTATGGGGATGTAGTATATGCATCTGCACCGCAATCCCACATTAATAAACTCAATACATTGTATAACTCGTTCTGCCAATTTGTGCTACAATGTAATTACATGACTCACCATTGTGACATGCTAAAAGAACTAAACTGGCTGTCGCTGGAATCCAGGCGCACCCTTCATCTTTCCAGCCTTGTGTTTAAGAGCTTTTCTGGGAAACTCCCACCCTACCTGAACAAAATGCTTTCCCCAGCTATTCCCACCTCCTATAACCTCCAATCCAGTACCAACACTTTACTTAGTCTACCTCGATACAAAAAGAAAGCAGCTCGATGCTCCTTCTCCTACAGAGTGCTGCAATTATGGAACGACCTCCCGCACAATTTAAAATCTTCCCTAAGCCTAAAGTCCTTTAAGAGATCCCTCTCTACAGACCTCAAAACAGAATGCACGTGTCATGGTTGATTATATATTTCTTACCTGTTCTATGGTAAATTTTGTATATATTGTGTATTAATATTGTTTTTGTATTTTGTTATACCCTAATGTAACAATGCAATGATTTGTGGACCCAGGACATACTTGAAAACTAGAGAAATCTCAATGTATCTTTCCTGGTAAAATATTTTATAAATAAATAATAAAAATAAAATACGAGTATCACAGTGTTCTGCACCTACACTAATCCTTGGAAAACTTGAGGTTGGATTTGAGCATGTGGAGGAAAGAAGACTAAGGCGATATTAACAAAATGTTCTCAGAGGGTGACTCTGGCTTTCTTTCCTAACCACCAGAAGTGAAGATCTAAACTTTTTTTAAACTAAACTATTTACATTGTAACATGAGCTTGGCTAATAAGTGCTGTTTTAGAAGATTTCAGTGTGACACATTTTATATTAAATAGAATAGCCAGAAGTGTCCTGGTGCCATCCTAGAGTATGTAGCCAAACCATTTGCAAATTGTTTCCATTGGACACCAGTCACAGTCTCCAGAAGAGCCAGATGTTTCTGCATGAAGCTTCCATTGCAGTATAGAACTAGCTCATTGGCTGAGAATGTGAGCTGAGCGCACTGCTTGACTTAAGTCAATGTAGGGGACTTTTTTTGGAGGAGGAGGAGTTTTTGGGTGCTGGTTTGACTGCTTGTCTGAGAGGTCACTGGGGCACTACAGTTGGCATTCCTTTAAGTAAGTGGCAGGTATGGCCAATATGTTTTTAAAAATAGTATAACCGCACAGAGCTTGTATTACAACACATGAGAAAGCTGACTTCTTCACTTAAAGTTAGAGCTTAAATTATTACAGTAATTTCCTTAGAAAATTTCACAATCTGATTCTGCTTTTTCACTCATTCTTGTTGTAGGAAGAAAAAAAAGAACAAAACAGAAAACCAGATATTCATTTTCTGTAAATTAAAGCTTTAATGTGAGTACAGGGGAGAGAATAATAGAGCGTGCCAGCTACGAGGACTCACTGGCAGTTTGCCCTTATCTGATCTCTTTCGAATGGATTTCATCCATGTAGATTAAGTGAAAATGTGCATTTTACTTCTGGAATTCCATTGAGAAAACTATCATTTCTCACAACAAAACAATTTTAGACTTTTTCCTATCTACGTTTTGTAGAAGCCGCTACAAAACCCTTGAATCCTTTTTCGCAACAAGATATCTCCTAGTAACAACCTTCCAATTCTATCCTTTTAGTCCCCCTTCAGGAATCTCCTAGTGGCAATATCCCACTGCCAAACTACACTCTCCCAGCATGTCTGCAGCAAATGGAAATATTTGGCCTAAAGTGTCTCATTTGGAAAAAATCTTCAAGTCAGCTTTAAAGGCAATTTGGCCACAGGGCTGCCCCCTACAATTTGGGGCCCCTGACAAAGCACAAGGTCTGGGCCCTCCCCCCCTGCTCCACCCCCATGGCTGTGTAGCGGTTGCAGTGTGTATAGTGAACGCAGAGTGTGTTTGAGTAGTGGATGTAGTGTGTTTGTGTAGTGGATGTAGCGTTTATGTGTACTAGATGCAATGTGTTTAGTGGATGCAGTGTCTGTAGTGGATGTAGTGTGTGTATTAGATGTAGTGTGTTTGAATGTGTGGTGGATGTAGTGTGTGTACTGTGAATACAGGATGTTTTTGTAGTGGATGCTGTGTGTATAGTTAATGCAGAGTGTGTGTCAGTGTAGTTAATGCAGAGTGTGTGTTAGTGTAGTGAATGTAGAGTGTTAGTGTAGTGAATGCAGTGTGTGTGTCAGTGTAGTGAATGCAGTGTGTTAGTGTAGTGAATTCAGAGTGTGTGTCAGTGTAATGACGGCAGAGTGTGTGTTAGTGTAGTGGATGCAGAGTGTGTGTCAATATAATACATGCAGAGTGTGTGTTAGTGTAGTGAATGCAGAGTGTGTGTTAGTGTAGTGAATGTAGAGTGTGTGTTAGTGTAGTAAATGCAGAATGTGTGTCAGTGTAGTAGATGCAGAGTGTGTGTCAGTGTAATGACTGCAGAGTGTGTGTCAGTGTAGTGGATGCAGTGTGTTAGTGTAGTGAATGCAGAGTGTGTGTCAGTGTAGTGGATGCAGTGTGTTAGTGTAGTGAATACAGAGTGTGTGTTAGTTTAGTGAATGTAAAGTATGTGTTAGTATGTAGTGAATGCAGAGTGTGTGTGTATGTGTGTGTGTGTTTACTAGTATATGCATGTTGTGTAAATTGAGCATTTTCCCCTCCCTGCTTCTTATCTGGTTGAGGGAGGAGGGAGATTCCATCAGTGGTGGTCCAGTGGCATTGTGGAGCCCCCCGGCTCCCTGTGTTTGCATAGGAGGCCCAGCAGACTGCAGCAGTATGTTAAAGCTCTTCCCTCTCTCTAACACCCGCGAGTGTGCCACACGTGTCACCCGTGGCAATGCTCTGATGGCCACACGTCTCACGGGAGTTAGAGAGAGGGAAGAGCTGTAATGTACTGCTGCAGTCTACTGGGCCCCCTCTGCAAATACAGGGAGCCGGGGGACCCCACAATGCCACCGGACCACCAGGGATGGAACCAGAAATGTGCAGATGGAACCAGAAATGTGCAGAGAGGGAATGTGGGGCCCGGGACAGCCAAAGCAGTCCGCGCCCCCCAGGACCGCCGGGCCCATGACAACCGTCATGGTTGTCACCCCCTGATTGCGGCCCTGTTTGGCCATATAGCCTGATTTTTAAAAAAATCAATTTTTAAAGGGACACTATAGTCACCAGAACAACTACAGCTTATTGAATTTGTTCTGGTGAATAGAATCATTACCTTCAAGCTTTTTGCTGTAAACACTGTCTTTTCAGAGAAAATGCAGTGTTTACATTACAGCCTAGTGATAACTTAACAGGCCACTCCTCAGATAGCTGTTAGAGATCCTCCCTGGGTCATGGCTGCCTAAAATGCATCCACACATTCAGTATCTACTCCCTCTGCATGCAAACACTGAACTTTCCTCATAGAGATTCATTGATTCAACTCATTTCTATGAGGAGATGTCCATTGACCAGGGCTGTGTTTGAATCATGCTGGCTCTGCCCCGATCTGTCTTTTTGTCAGTCTCAGACAATCCTATGGGGAAGCACTGTGATTGGATCAGGCTACCACTTACCATGATGTCAGCAAACTGCTTGTTTTTTTTTTAGGCAAACAGCATGCAGAGTTACAGCTTCTGGCTTGAATACAGTACGATTTTGCTATATTTATGGAGGCATGAGAGACCCATAGGATCAGGAATAAATGTTTGTGTTCCTGACCCTGTAGTGATCCTTTAATTCATAAAATGTAATGTTTAGCAAATAAATATCATATATTTACCATTTGGGCCATGTCTTCCCAAATAACTGTGATTTCTTTGGGCACATTAACAATGTAGAAGTATAAAGAATTTAAAGACTGTTAAACAGAAAAAGAAAAATATCAGGAAATTGAGAAATTGATGGCCGGATCAATGGATGATTGAACAATTATAAATGCAAACATAGAAACATAGAATGTGACGACAGATAAGAACCATTTGGCCCATCTAGTCTACCCAATTTTCTAAATACTTTCACTAGTCCCTGGCCTTATCTTATATCTAGGATAAATAAAGAGAAAGTAGGGTAAAAGCCCAGGCTGCCAAGGGAAAAAGGAAACCCCCCTAGAATTATATGTATTAAAAAATACCTATCCTGTGTATCGCAATCTGAAAGATACACTAACTCTCTATTCTATGTAACAAAGTACTCATCTGAACCTATGCGTAACTCTAGCGTTTTTTTGAGAGGACGGTAGCAGATTTCTTGTCTGAGTACTTTGTTACATAGGATAGAGAGTTAGCGTATCTTTCAGATTGCGATACACAGGATGTGTTAGCGCAATAGCAGCATCCTTAAGTATCTCCCTAGCGAAGTGCAAAGATTGCCCTTACAAGGTAGACACCAGTTCTATATACTTCAGCCTGATAGAATCTTTTTTAAGCATTTTCCCATAGTGAAGTGCAGAGATTTCCTTTACAAGAATAACAGCAGCGCTGTATACTTTGGTGTAATATAACTATTTGTAAGCATTTCCTTAGTGAAATTGCAAGGTTAACAGCGGCTCGTTAGCATTACTTATTTGCTACATTGGTTTTACAGATTGTGTATCATTTGTGAAGCGATACATTCTACACATTGTGGTGGAATTGAAGTATTCTCTAGCATCTTCCTAGCTAGATTCTGACCACATTGAACACAATATAGCAACAGCGGCTAACTCTCCTGCTCTTTCTATTATCTAGAAAGGATAGATTTGTAACCACAGTCCGATTTAGATCTGCTTTCACACAACCCTATAACATATTGGATTTCTATTGCATTCGCATATGCATTTCATATAGACATATACCACCACTTATAATATAGGATTTACTTATATGGTGGCAGTAACGCCTTAACACTATTACATATATAAAGCCTGTGTGCTGTGTATGATCTATATGGGTGGTGTTCCTCTATGTACAACACTTTTTTTCTGCATTTAGTAGCATAGGGCTAGGTGACAAAGGGGTTTTTATACCCTATAAGCCTAGCAGTTATCCGTCATCAGCATGTAACATATCGCTCATATAAGCAGAATCTGATTTACCATTTGGCTCAGTTTTTATTTATTTATTATTTACTTGTTCTATGTCTAGAATTTCCTTATCCCTATCCTACGTATGCTTAAACTCCTTTACTGTGTTAACCTCTACCACTTCAGCTGGAAGGCTATTCCATGCATCCACTACCCTCTCAGTAAAGTAATACTTCCTGATATTATTTTTAAACCTTTGCCCTCTAATTTAAGACTATGTCCTCTTGTTGTGGTAGTTTTTCTTCTTTTAACCCCTTAAGGACACAACTTCTGGAATAAAAGGGAATCATGACGGAATATTTCCATCATGTGTCCTTAAGGGGTTAAATATAGTCTCCTCCTTTACTGTGTTGATTCCCTTTATGTATTTAAAATCTTTTTTTTTTTTTTGCACAGAAAACTTACAGAGTTGCCAAATCAAAAACTCCACCCGACTCCCTGCACAATTCTTGCCCGAAGCCTCAATTCTGCTGTACTCTGCCTACAGACAATCCCAATGCTCCACCAGTCTGGGGTAATTGCCCCCCTCCCTCGTCTTGTCGTCTTGCCAGTCCTCCCCTAGTTATAAAATCAAATTTCCATCAATAATATCTGAATCTTTAACATAGTACTTAGAAAATAGCCTAATATGAGAATGTTAGTCTTATTATCAGCTTATTCTATCCCACCCCCCTTTTTTTTCCCACTATATTAAACTGTAATCAAGCTGTGAATTTTTATCAGATCCATCATTATTTTCTGCAGTCCACTTCTCTTTTTGCTCATCAAACATCTTACAACTGGTAGGACAAGTGAATTTCATCACTTCCACTTAATTTGATTCTTCCTTATTCTGAGGAAAAAATATATACAGCATTCTTTTGCAACCACAACTGCCAGAGACAAATGGCTTTGTTATATTTGTTTATTTTCATACAGATAGTCACTATACTCTGAATTGTAGCCAATTAAAATCTGAATAACACAATGGGCTGACAGAGTCAAATTGTAATTATAGATGAGTTTTAGAAATCTTCCCAGATAAACTATTTTTGCCATTTGAATTTATATTTTTGTTTCGGTTTTTTTCTAGTCAAATATTTCTGATTGAATTTTTAACATAATATATAATACAAACAAACAATAAAACAAAGTTAATTACAAAGCATTACAACAAATATAAAAGGAAGTATCATCCAACCATCAATCAGTATCATACAATATGAATATATATCCATCAATTTCAATTGTAATAGCAAAACATTATTTTTTACCTATACTGTAGCCCCATGGAACAAGCGTAGCTAAAGTGGAATGGGGACCTTGACAGGGCTAGGAGGCGGGCTTAGGTGGGGATGGCAGGGATTGGCTGGTTAGGATGGGGGCAAGCCTAGTATATGTAGGGCGGCCATCTTAATTTTGACACAACCAATCTGTTAACCAGTCTTGGTTTGTCCCTCCCTCCCTCCCTTTATTTAGGTTCCAGGGTTATAGCCTTGCTTGGTCACAGCGGCTTGGTTGGTGAGGGGAAGGCAAGGGCGAACTATGGTCTATGGTCAAATTAAGAAGAGTTAAGAAAGTTGGTTGATTGGTTACAAATTGGTTGGTTACAATGTTGGTATAATGTTGGTGGGTTTCGAGTCTGTCGGTGGCTCAGAACCTTGGAGGTGTAGGGTATCTGGGTATACCCCTACCAGGAGGCAGTTAAGCTTTATGTTGCACTTTATTTATGTATATATTTATGTGCAGTTACACTGTTATGAAGATATTTACTATATGGGTCATTGCCTTTATTTATGAAAGATGGATATGTATGGTGATGTATGGTGATGTGATGTATAGTGATGTATGGGGTAGAGGGGCGGGGCATTGACTTTACAAGTTCAGTTGATATTTTGTAAAAGGTTATTATATATATAATGTATTCAATAAAGCTGTGGACATATTGACCCATACCACTGAGTGTCCATGTTTGAATGGTAAAAGTGGTGGGAACGGGGTTTTGGGAGTAATCTCCACCTGCCCGTATGGCGACTACGCACGCCCATATGGCAGTTATGTCATCTTGATGAGAAATAATAATCAATGTATTATATGTTTAACGATGTGGCTGCTTATTTTGCCTTTTGGATTTTTTAAACACTTGTTAAGAATGTTTTCTATATAAAATCTATGTACAAATCTATGAACATTAAAACTGGATTGTACAGATAATTCACTAAAAAACACATTTTATAAATAATAAAAAACACTCTTTAGTTGCCAGTTTTATACTGTTTAAATATAGCACCTATATGTCATGTAATCAGACTGCACAGCAAACCCTTCTGGGAGATAGTTTGTATGTTCTTATTCGACAGTAGAATATTGGCAATTGAACTACAATTCCTAGTAACCCCACTGTGTTCAAAAAGCACAGTTGTGCAAGCACTTCTGGTAAAAGTTAAGAAAGCATCGTGACTGGCTGAGTCACTTCATGATCTAGGCAGAATTAAATATAGAAGATGCAAATGATGATACTTTACAGTAAGAACAATAGTGTCAATGTGAATAAAACATTTCTTTTTATGTTTTTGCAAGATTAGTTTAATTTGCGATTTTTGTTACAGTGGGGTTAGGATGTAACATGGACCTTGAGGAGATTCTTTTAAAAATATATATAAATATGAATCTACTGAAAAGTACAGGGGCTAACTGGATAGAAAATAAAAACAAAATTAATTAAATGAATAGAACATTTTAACTATGAAGAAAGGTTAACAAATTAAAACCTATTTAGTTTAGAAAAACATCGCCTGAGAGGGGATATGATAACATTATACAAATATTTTCGGGACCAATACAAACCATTGTGTGGAAATCTATTCACAAACCGGACTTTACATAGGACACGAGGTCATGCGTTTAGACTGGAAGAAAGAAGATTTTGTCTAAGGCAAAGGAAAGGATATGAAATTCTCTGCCTGATTAAGTAGTTTTATCAGAGTCCATACAAATGTTCAAACAGCTACTAGATGCATACTTGCAAAAACGGAATATTCAAGGATATAATTTTTCAATGTAGGGTAATAGCTTCTTGATCCAAGGATAAATCTGACTGCCATTCTGGGGTCAAGAAGGATTTTTTCCCTAGTTTGTGGGAAAATTACAAGTGCTTCTTTTTTTTTTTTTTCTTATTTTGGATCAACAGAAAAAAACAAATGTGAGGAAGGCTGAACTTGATGGACACATGTCTCTTTTCAGCCATGTAACTATGTAACATTAAACATTAGTAATTGGTTGGTATTGTTAATTATTGTGATGTATTACTATTATATTATTACCATCATCATTATATACTTTCAAAGTATTAATAACAAGAAAATAGAAGTTTAAAGGGGTTGGATGCAAAGCCCCAAAGTTGTCAAGCAGAACATTTTTAACAAAGTGTTCCCATAATTTAGTAAATTGTTCCCTTAATATAGATATATTTTCCACATAATTGAATAGAACATGCATGTGATATAACTATAAAGTGAGAAAATGTACAAAATCTTTTGCATGGTTTAAAGCCATGAAATATTTGGGCTACATAGCTAAACAGTTGTCAGCATGAATGTACCATTTATGGCTACAGTCACCAAACAGCCCATGTCAATGTTTAGCCATTCAAATGTAGGAAAGCACTAATTGTCAATTGTAGTTTGCTTCTATGGAGCGCAGTATTGTACATTCATGCTGAAAAGGATTTACTAAATAGTGAGCATTATTTACTAAATTGTACCATAGATATAGTTATATCATGGGCATGATTTCTTTGCCAGTACATTATATAACATATGGAAAGGCAGATCATGCAGTTGTGGATTTCTTTATTTGGTATAATTTGAGTGAACAGCAACATAGGAGTAAATTTAACCTAGAATGCATGTTCTCTTTACTAGAACAGTGTCGTCATTGTATTTTTTGTTTGTTTTTGCCTGGGACTATAAATAAATATAATAAATTAAGGGAAGTGTCTCTTTCCAGAGAGCTTTCAATAACCATACCAAGAAACCTAAGATATTCATATCAGCTGAATCAGCCTTTTTGTTAGAAAATTCATTATGAAACTATACATTTTATTAATATTTATAACACTTCTTTTTTTTCATAAATATACATCTATCTGTATATTCCAGAAAATTAGCTGAAAGTATGAAAAGGAGATATTTTAGCCTTGAAATACCAACTCAAAATTGTTAAAAAGTGAAGAATAGAATGAAATCTGAATGTAGTCTGTGATCTGCACAGCATTTTGAAAGCAGCCAAGCTTTAGCTGAACTCTGTACATGTTCTGCCATTAGACGGCAGGCTGTCAGTAAGGGGCAGATCCACACCTTTAATAGGTGGACTGTGCCACATACACCTTGCTCTATATGCCACGTGAACACCTATATTGACTCCTGCACTAGTTATTTATTTTCCCGTGTCCAATTTTTTATTGAAAGCTTTTCAAGTGTAATACAGAACTGTAACATCTTATAAAAGAACATACAATACAATAATACATGTGCATTACACAAATGGTATAGTTTAGGTAAAGCATAAAGAAATTGGTACATTGTCATCGTTGTTTGTGCCATCTGGACCAGATCTTCTTGAATTTTTGTGTGGTTCCTCCTAGCCTATGTGACTTCTCTTCGTATATGTGGTTATTGCGTGACTGATCCAAGACTTCTGTTCTAGTTGGGGGTTTGGGGGATTTCTAAGCCGCTGTAATACTAAATTTAGCTGATACTAAAATCTGCATTGTCATACTCCTATCCAGCTTCCGAATGTGGTCTGGTATCATGTCAAATGGAAATACTTCTGGTTTAAGCTGAACAGTGTGCCCTGTACGTGTATTTTTTTTTGGTCTTACATATCTACCCATAACAGCCCAATTGTGGACAGTACCAGAATATGCGACTTAGGGCCCCTACTTCTTGTTTGCATCTCCAGCAAGAAGAGAACGTAATTGTGTAAATAATTGATAGTCGGAGTGGTGTTAGGTACCACCTCATTAGTAGATTCCTGCGTGTTTCTACATGGTTTAACCCCTTAAGGATCAAATGTCATGTGTCCTTAAGGGGTTAAACATGCTTTAGTACCTTTTATTAGAGAAGACGCCGGAGCCTGTTGTTCCGTGAAAATTTCCATTTTAATTCTTTCTCACATTGTTCCATGTATTTTAGTTTACATAGTCTAAATAAGTCATTAACAGTGTGTTACAGTGAAAATGTTTTTTGTTGACATATACTTCCGAAGGCATGTATTAGCTAAATGATGGTGGACGGTGGACTGATGCCCTGTTGAGAATGTGTTTAATATTTACAAAAGAAAAAAAAAATCTTTTTTTGTGAGGTCATGGTCAGATTGAAGCTGAGAAAATGTTGTAATGCCTACAAAGTTTACCAGTTGTGGTATCTTTGTTAACCTCGCCATCATCCAACTCTACAAATGTAGGTCGAAGCAGTGATATCGTTTTATTGTCATCCTCCTTTTTTGGAGCCTGTCCACTAGCTAATTGTAAGCTAAGCATAATTTATCCATCCTGACCTCCAGTGCATCTGACCTGGAGCCAAGATCTCTTAAATGTATGTGGATGTCTTCCATGACAAATCAAGGAAGTGTACTGGTAGGGACTGGGATGAATAAAATATACTCAAATACGAGTACCAAATATCCAAAAAATTGCTGCCAGACTAGGTACTAAATGATAATAAAAACCAAAAATACATAAATTTTATTAAGTCAAATTCAATAAAAAAGATGAGAAAGATATATAAGTGCTTGTGTACAAAAGGTGAACAAAATAATGAGTACTAAAACCAGTAACATTAACTTGGAATGTCCCTATTGATACTGAGATAGTCTCAAGATGTACCGCTAGCCTATGTAGCTCTGATATACTGACTCTATTGGAATATATAGATGTATCAACAGGGTATCGATGCTTCATAATAGACTGGTAAAAGTACAATGGCAACGTAGCTTGTATGAAATTAGACCAGTGACATTAACTTGAATGTCATCATTGATCCTTGAATAGATCTCAGAACGTGACTAGCCTATTTAACTCTTATAGGCTGCCTCAAATGATGTACAGAATTGGTATCAATGGATGAAAGTTTATAGTAGCCTAACCCATAGCGGGATAGTAGTTAGTAGTGGAGCGAACCTAATATAGGTATTCACTTGCACACGTCTGTGCCTTGATATCGGGCTCTGTCTAAGAGCAGCCTGGATATTGAGCTCCGTCTGATAACAGCCGGAAGGTAAGTAACCATCAAAAGGGAATATAGAAGGGGAGCTGGGGGGGGTGGGGAGGGAGCTGCAAGACAAATAATAAAATGCAGAAACAATGCTATGCAGAAGAAATAAGGTAAATTAATTATTTCAATAATTTGTCAGTCCGCGATGTCAGTCTCATCTACCTAATACTCTGGGAACTGAGCTTTACCTGGCATCTTAGCACAGTAGGATCTAATAGCTATTTAGCCACCTAATTTGGTTTCAAGCTACCTCACCTCGGCATTATTCCCCTCTACTAGTTTTTGGGAAGGGCTACAGGGACTTATGCACTATTAGCTTTCCTCTTTCTCTATCTCATGGATTTTTTGCTGGAGACATCATGGGAAGGTAAGGTAAGTAGATGCTAGTGTTGGCTAGCATGCCCACAGAATAGTCGCTTTAGGAATCCTATGCACAAAGCTCTTTGCCATGTGACTGCTCCTCTACACCAGAAATTCCACCCTTTTTTCCCCATCCGGTTCTTAATAAAATAAAATTAACACATTTTATATTAATCATTGCTCCAAGCACCATGATCACTTTAGTGGAACCAGTGCTGAGCAGTGACTAGATGCCATGCAGAGACCCAGTTAATGGCACAAACCCTTACTTACAACCTGCGAACCAGGCCTGAGTACTCCAGGCTTCATAACCACAACAGCAAAATTAATCTTATCCCATTTACTAAGTGGTTAGTTATCTGTACATTGTATATTTCTCAAATGTATTGCCTACGATATTAAGCTGGTCATCGGAATCCCGTTAGATGTTACATTCATTTAGTAAAGGAAAACGTTATTACTCGTTTGACATTGTTGTCACATGATCCAATATTACTTTTTATCATATTCTTACATAGTTCAAGGCCTCTCATATCAGTTTGAATTTATACAAGTGCTTGAATTCCCTCAGGTTTCAGTTAAGTCTTCTATTATCACCATGATACATGTTTGGATTAGTAAGAAAGAAAAATAAATAAATACATAATAATTTTAAAAAACTACCATTAAGTATCACAGAATAAGTTCTAATAATAATAAAACAATTACAAAATATAATTTCAGTTTCAGAGTGAAAACTAAAATCACATGGCTTTTTGATCTCCCATTGAAATGTTTCAGTGAGAAGAAATGTAATTCTATAAACCAAATATCCAGAATCTAAAATGTTATCTACATACACACACACACACACACACACACACACACATACACACACACACACACACACACACACACATATATATATGTATAATCCTGCAACAGAACCAATACCAAAATTCCCCAAATTTGGAAATACATAGCAATGTGGTTTCTGTAAGACCTACAACAGCCATATCAACTCTACTTGAGAATTTTAGCTGTAAATTCCTGTTTAAGTTGGTAAAAATAAAGTCAGTTGATTTTGACAGCAGCGTAGACAAGATCTGGAGCAACAACAGGCTGATGTTTGGGTATGGAAGGACCAGAAGATGCTGAGTGATTCACTGTTGAGTAGAGCAGGTGATCGTCCTTTAAAAAACAGGGAAATATCCAGTCATATTGAAATATTACTAAACAAAAACTTAATCAATTGTTTAAAGGACTAGTAATATATGTCTGGAACGCAATAGACCAATTGTTAAGGATACCAATGCCCTCATCGGTTAGACCAGTGGTTTGACAGGAAAACAATGCTATACATGGCATTTAAATCTTGGCAACCAATCTTAAGTTTTAAAACTAGTTAAGTGACACGGTACATTTAGTAAAATAACTACCTCAGTGATCCATTACACATTTGTTATAATATAGTAACATTCATTTTATAAAGCACCTTCCTTAGACTGTTCCCCCGGTGACAGTGGTTTGTTCATTGCACTAGGAAGAAATTGCTAGTAGTTTCCTTGTCACAAGAGTAAACATTTGGCAACTGATAATTGGAGGCTTCCATTTTTTGAAATTTTTTTTATTTTGAATTTTTGTAATTTTTATTAAAGAGCATTAGCAATACACATAAAACAAATAAAATTACCATGCAATGTTGTTGAAATGTAACTTTAACAAAGTAAGCAAACAGACGTTTAAGGATTGGATCTACAATTCTGCTTGTTAATGTGCTTTATGTGTGGATTGGGCCCTCCTTTTTTTATTTTTCAAACAGTTCACATTTCAGTAGAAATTGGCACTTTTATAAATTAACCTTCTTAAAATCCCCCTGGCTGTCAATCAGACAGTCTGTCCCGTTACTTCCTGGTTGTTTAGCTCAGGACTGTATTTATTAGTGATTAGAGGTACTATGGTATTAGTTAAGGATTGCTAAAGCCTGCACTGAGAGTACATTTTTTATATAGTATTTTTATCAATCACTACTTTATTTCTGATCAGAGGCCAACCGTGTTTCATTGCCCTTGTAGGATACAGTGATGGTAAAGTTATACAGTGAGAATAAAGTTGAATCTGAAACAATGGCCCCACTTTGTTAGTGATAAATGGTTAGAAACTTGGAAATATAAATAAATAATTAAAAGGATTGTTTGTTACAAACGATATTAGCGAAAATAAAATTTGACTTGAAAGTACATGGAAGAGAAGAAAAGGCTGAAGTTGGCTAAAGATATAGGTGAAAGAAAATGGAACTGGGGTCAGATTTAGAATGGGGAAGGAAACAGAAAGGGAATCAGGAAGGAGTGGTTTGAATGTGTGCCCTCAGGCTGCCAAACATTTGAATAAACTCCATAAAGCGGGCACTGCTAATATGAAATGATTTCTCTCTCCTCGAACAGCAACCTCCGCATGTCTGAAGGACCTTATTAAGGCTGGCACTGCTTCAACTGGGCGCCTGCCCTAATAGGATTAAAATAGATCTCCAAGGCCCAGAGGGTAGTGTGGCCAGTGACAGGCACCACTCCAATAGTAGGCACCTGTCACTAAAGTAGTCTGGCCACTGTAAAGCTGCTTATTTATTGTATTATAATTATTATTATTAAATTTTCTTATCAGGAGAATCTCCTCCTTTTATAACCAAAAATCGGAATACATGGTATCTAATGCAATATATATTTTCTCTTGCATTTTACCGTTAAAAGAGTAAAAGAAATTGAAAAATAATTATTTGTCGGCACCTAGGGGCCAAACTCTGTATTACACTTGTAATTTGAGTTTAGCCCCAAATAGCCTATTTATTTGACTCATTGTTACGATAGAAAATGTCATTATGGTTTATTCCCTATATATGGTATAATCCACATATTTGGAGGTAGGAGAGTCATATAGAAATATTCCTATTAAAAAAAAATATATATATATATATATATATATATATATATATATATATATATATATTAAACAAAAATCTGCACACCAGTCAAGACATAAGACTTGCTTTTCCCACAGAAATCCCCAAACTGCAGCGATGTTACAACCGCAAAGGATTCTGGGTGGGCATATGCAAATTAGTTTAACAAAGAATCACATTTTTGCCTCCTTCCATTTTAAACATGGATTCCTTTTAATCTGTGTTTGCTGTATACAACTGCTTGGAACACAATATAGGAAAAGATGCAAAACCAGTGAACCACTCATGGACAGCTGTTTCATTGTTAATGCAACTCATCAGCATGAGGTTGGTTACTGGTTTGTTAGTAACTTTTCAAGTTGGTGCGGTGCCAGACTGGACAAAGTCAAATACATATGTATTTGAATCAATACATATGTATTTGACTTTGTCCAGTCTGGCACCGCACCAACTTGAAAAGTTACTAGCTACCACTGCTATGCCTGTTTTATCTAGTTATAATGATCCAAGCATACATTTATAAATGAATACTCACTGAACATTGTATATTTTTGTATGGTTAACCACTTAAACTTGTGCAGGTCATTAAAAAAATATATATGCAGATTATTTAAAAAGCCTGTGATAGTTAATATGCCCTTCATATTAGTACAAGGGAGGTTTTATCCCTCCTTCATTGTCCCACTCACCATGCGTGGGCATATCTGTTAACATGCGCTCACTGTAACAGTAAACTAGAGACTGGGTAGCTACTGCTGCCCACTTGCTAATAAGGTCCAACTGTGGCACCACCCATGAGCTGGTGGCTTCAATTTAAAGAATAAGGGAGGGTGTACAGATCTATTCCATTCTTACCATTAATTAAATCATTAAAGTGAAGAGGCATAATGGTTAAATTAAAACTAATTACATTTTTGGTAATGGAATGAAGGGTGATACTAAGGATTATTTGTTTTTTTATTTTTAATAGCCACATTGGTTATAATTAATTTTTATATGGTAGGTATTAGTCATTATTATTAGGGTGAATGGGTTAGGTAGTTTTGTTTTTTATTGGTAATGGACACATTTTCAGAGTGTGTGGACAGTGGCATATCCATCCCAGAGTATATTTAATTAGGATTTTGTGACACTTGCCTTCGGCACGAGCTCCTGGAGGAGCCTGCTAGCTAGCCTCCTGCCCCAGGACTATGGGCCATGGAAAGGACCTGTAAGATTTGAATTGTGGGGTTTATTTGTACTATTTGGGATCCAAACAGACTCAGGAACTGCGGACCACCTCTGTGCTTCTTAATGCATATTGACCTCTCCTGACACCTCAATCATCAAGGGTTCTAATTGTTCGGCTGGGTGACATGCACGAACATGTGGGAACTGAGTTGGCAGCCATCATGTTTGCAAGAATGCAGGCAGCAGTGTTCGGTCGTTGAGTTCATGGAACTACAATCAGACACTGTTACTCCTGAACACAGATGAACTTTGACGAACGACTGCTTCTTATTCACACATGTCAGGAGAGCGCCGTTCAGTAGGTTTGTTCATATGAACCATACGAACAAATGCTACCAACAAGCCAAAGGATGAGTTTGGTAATATGGAACTCCCGAAAGTGACTAGCTGCTACCACTGAATCCCTGGAACTTATTTGAGCTGACACCTCATGTGCGGTCGGTCAAAACTTTACCCCGGTGACGATTCGGCTGTGTTCTTGGGATCTGAGCACTATTTGGACAACTTGGGAGCTCAAATCCAAGCTATCCAGGGATGTAATATTTATGGGGGTTCCTATATGTTTTATGAATATTTTTATGTGTTTTTGATAATTTGTTTTTCATGCCTAGTCATGCTGATTCTGGAATTTGTAACCATTTTGTGGGCGTATTGTGGGAGTGTTCTGGGCGTGTTTTCCAGCCTCCTGATTTTGTATATTAGTGGGCTAGTTGGCCAGATGAAACAGATTCTTTTTACACTTCATCATGTCTAGGCTGATGTTTGGGGAACTTGGGCTATAATCACTACTGCACTTGGGACTCGGGATATATAACGCATATACTCAGCCGGAGTATAGGGGATCCGTTTCAGTTCCCTCTTTGTTAGCAATATTAGATCCCCAATTCACCTACCATAGGGGGGACATTAGGTCCCCCCCATTTAATAATATAGCAATCACTTGCATCCACTAAATTGGGAAATGGAGGTGGGCATAGGTTCCTTCCCTGTTTTTAATTTTAGAGTCCCCACCCATAGTTTTCTTAATTTATTAATATTATAGCCACCATGGATGTGGATCTTATCAATAATATAAAATAATAAATTAGCATAGCTTGATTTGGACTAAACTTTGAAACTTACTTTAAATTCCCAGCAATTTACTCTTTAGTTAAAGATCACTTTTATAATTTAACCCTTTTACACCCCTTGACTGTCAATCAGACAACCAGTCCTGTTACTTCCTGGTAGCTCAGCTCATTGCACAGAGCACCTACCTTGCAATGACTTTGCAATGGGAAGTCTCAGATTTGACAGTCACAGAAAGTTTGGACAGGGGTAGAAGAGACTTGCTTGCAAAAGCTGCAGATGAGAGATTTGTAAAGTTTCCAAACTGTTTTTAGATATACCCCCATGAAAAAAAATGTATAATATATTGCATGCATGTTTTCAATGGTGGCATATCTACTAAATAGTGAATTTTGTATTAGGCAGTTACTTCCTCCCAGAGAGACTAGGAGCCACGCGGAAGGGAGGAGGAGAAGCCAGAGAGGCAGGGACAGAAAAACCCTAATGCCCAACTTCCTGAGCAAGCACACCCTCTGGAGGATGGCTATAAAAGTGTAAATTTTTGCCAGCATGTGTGTCTGTGTGTGTATTTCTATGTCTTAGTGCGTGTATCTGTATGTCTGTCATTTTGTGTGTCTATATATCTGTCGGTGTGTATCTGTATGTTAACGTGTGTCTGTATGTGTATGATGTCTGTATGTTTATATATCCATGTGTCTGTGTATCTGCATGTGTATCAGTGTATATCAATATGTGTATCTGTGTCAGTTTGCATGTGTGTCAGTGTGTGTGTTTGTCTGTATATCTGTCAGTGTGTCCGTATGTGTATCAGTATAGGTCTGTGTATCTGTATGTTGTCTGTATGTATGTGTATGTGTGTTTCTGTATATCTGCATATGTGTCAGTGTGTTTATCTGTGTGTCTTTATCTTTGCATGGGTCAGTATGTGTATCCATGCATCTGCATGTGTGTTAATGTGTGTCTGTATGTGTGTCAGTGTGCATATCTGTGTGTGTGTGTGTGCATGTGAATCACAGTGCAGGTTAATCTGTGCATACATGGCAGCATTCAAACGTCATCACTACATACAAACGCACTCACGCCAACACTACATACAATCATACCCCTACCTACATTAACACAAACATACAAAAACCTGATTATGTTCACACACAAACACTGTTCAGTACTAAATACAACCCTGCCGGGATAGTAGTATGGTAAAGCCCTAGCTGTCAAAGTATTACGGATGGGCATCTACCTTTTAGCCACTCTTGCGATAGGCGGGGCCTATACAAATTATTGCACCAAAGCCCTCTCTATATTTGTCCTGCCACTGATAAACACGTATATAAAAACATAGTAAATATATTTTACCCCTTGATGTTTCCGATTAATTTCTTCTGGGACTTCATACACTAGTTTGAGAAAGAAAAATATTCAATAACCAGTATAAAAGAAATAATATTAAAGAAAATAATCGTCTTATTGTAAATCCCACCCACTGATTATTTACATGATCCTGTCTTTTAGGGCATATGTGATCTCATGACCTAATGCAAGACTATATACTCAGAAAATGTAATTCTTGTTTCAAAAATATCCCAAAATGTTAACATGACTAATTGGCCAGCCCCACAACAGTATCTCTAGTCACTACTAAAGGGAGGGGGGGGGGAGGGGGGACTGCAGATTTAATCATGTCTAACACACTAATAATTAGTTTCCTTACCACACTGACAAACTCACCACCACTGATAGTAGACGTTTACTCATACTACTATTAAAGAGGAACTGTGATCTTGCTAGTATAACCACATTATGTGCCAGATATCTATTGTTTAACTTACATACTGAGCTATGTTACAATGCTGCCGCCCATCTCATGTGTTCTCTATAGGGTTAATAAGTATATAGGGGTGTAAATAAAAAATACCCCTTTCTGTCTCATTAGAGATATATTTGCCAGAGGCTCAAGGAAGCAAGGTGAAAGCTTAGTGTAGGACCCACCTGAGAGGTCTGACTTGACGTGGCAGGTGGGCATTCCCTCCAATGGCCATTGGAGTAACTAAATAACCTCCATTTGTTTAAATATTGATAGGGGCGAGAGCGCAGGTAACTTTTTTCTTTGGTTTTTACTGAGCAAAAGTGTCTAACACTTTTGAACACTAAAACAGCATTTACAGGGATGAAGAAATTAGGAACGTTCCCTCTTCTAAAAAAGTCTCCTCTATAAAGCATGAGCTCACCTACGAAAGTTAAAGCAAACCTCTTTAAAAAAAAAAAAAAAAATCAGGCGACTACCGCATTGCAATCTGACAGCAAAGTTGATCCTGCTTACACTACATAACTATCTTACATAAATCTATAAGGCCAATAAATCCACTTATTCATTTATGTACACTTATTCATCCTTTCGCATATAAATAAAAAATAGCACTATTCACACTAAATAAAATAAATAGCACTTTTCACTAAACTCCACACAGTAGTGAAATGAAAATAAAATTGCAAACTTGAGGCTTAATTAGCCAAGCTGTAATAATATCTGAAATATATGATATTGAGTTGAAAAATGTTAGATAGTTTTGCCTACATTAGTTATCTGGATTTCAGTTCAATATAAATTTAATTTAGAGAGATTTTATTTTTTATGTGTCGAAAAAAAAACAAACCTATTTATATTCTTTATTATATATTTTTTCCATATAATTTATAATCTCAGGAATAACATTTATGACTTAATTTAATATTTACTAATATTAAATAATATTTGTAATATTTTATAAAATGTATTATTTATTTTATATTTACAGTATATGCCCTTTAGGAAATAAAATAGAATTTTAAGCAATTTTATGCATTTTAAAATACATTACTGTTATATTTATATATAAAAGAAAATACATTTAAAAAAAAAATGATTGTGTGTATTAACATAATTTAAATTTTTAGGCATTCCAGAACAGCAAGTTGTACTCAAAATTGCTATTTTTTTCCTATGTTAATGTGCTAGCTGAAAGTTTATTTTTTTTGAATAAATTTAATTTTCTATTTGTTACAATTAGAAGAATTTGCTAGTAAAGGGTTATATTCAATAAGTACTCATAGTCAATGAGTACCCAGTCTAGAGAAGCACAATAGATAGGGAATTTGCAAGCATTCTTTATTTTATAATTCACAAATCCCACTGAAGGTAATAGACTTAACAATTTTAGTAAATCTAAACCCAAATTGAGATGTGACTATAGCAGAGTTGGCAAATCTGCCTAAATCATCTATTTTTGCCATATTTTTGCACAAAAAAAATCAGTTTCCTACAATTCCTACAATTTTTTTTTATATCACCAGCTATTAATATGGAGATACCTACAGATTATGATATTTAGATTAGTACCTGTACTCATTCTGTTTGCATAAACTGCAGTCTCTTTTGATGTTGTGTCATTCTCTCTGTAAAATAAAGAAGAAAATTACATTTATTTTCCTATCCAAACACCGAATTTAGAATTATATAAGGGGATCTTCCGATAGCGAGGGAAATTTTACTTACCCAGTGTTTGTCTTTGCTTTATTTATTACATAGAAGAAAGGGAAAAAAAAACAAAACACAGAATACATTTATTTCATTAGAAAGTTTCCTTTCAAAATATAAAATTAAAGGTCAAAATTAAACTGCCTCTGATACATCTGTTGAGAAACTTCAGAAACTTAATAGAGCATTTTGTGAATTACTTGTACGGTTATTCACAAAAGTGAGAATTTAAAAGGAATTCAAAGTAAATTTAAAATTATAGCCCAAAATAGCCCAAATCGAATTATAAATTATTTTTTTCCAATTCAGCTTCTTTGGCTAGGATTTTTTTATTTTTCAATTTATTTATCGGTCACATATGAAAAGGATACAAGAGAACTTGTTCTTGCATTCCCCTGGTTCCACCATATAGAGATTGCTGCACTGGTTAGCACCCTAACCTAACCAGACCCCTGACACTTGGAGAGTGCCTTTATTATTATATAATAGAGTTCATGAATATGAGGATGCATGTTTACTTCAAGCCTCTCAATTGTAGTTATTGAATTAGGGACAATATTGAAATGCTCCTTGATCACAGTATAGAGGAAATCAATTGTCAACACCATTAGGGATACTGGATGGAGAGAGACATGGTTTTCACTCATATTTAAGACCTGCTAACTCATGACCGCTGTGAGGGAGAGTGAGATAAAAGCTGACCTGAATGTTATGATCTCAGAGAATAATTGTAGATGACAATATGCGGGGAGTGGGGCTGATCATACTGCTCCGGCCATGGAGCAGTTAGAATCAGCATTGTGTCAGTAAATGTAGTGCACAGACTTGTAGCAGAATTGTTATTTGAAGGAACATTCAGAAGAAGATATAATTAAAAAGACGTTATACATTGATAACTATCAATATTTTATCATATTGTCGCAATATAACTCATTCTTATATATACCGAATATCAAGAAAACTGCAAATACATATGTAAAAGTGATAGAACTTGCCTATTCCGTCTTTCACTTCTGCAAAACACCCAGTAATTGGGAGAAGGCAGATAGTGTGAGTGGAAGTGAGACACGTAACATAATAAAACAACATTTTTAACTAGAACCCAGCTAAAACTGAAATCATGGTCCTAGACCACAAAATGCAGAAATGAGATTACCAAATTAAAACTTCTAGGAGCAATAGTAGCACTACGGTCCACAATATGCAAAAACATATTTAACCTACATATCAATGCTCTTTATGTGTGCTTAAATCAATATTCATTACAGTAGTTGTCTGTAAAATATTTTGGAACTTTATTAAAATATTCCAATTGACATGCCAATAAACAGATCATTGAAGCAAATGCAAAAAATGCAATGTTTCATATTCTGGTTACATAGTTACATAGCTGAAAAGAGACTTGCGTCCATCAAGTTCAGCCTACCTCACATTTGTTTTTTTGCTGTTGATCCAAAAGAAGGCAAAAAAAAAACAGTTTGAAGCACAATTTTGCAACAAGCTAGGAAAAAAATTCCTTCTTGACCCCAGAATGGCAGTCACATTTATCCTTGGATCAAGCAGTTATTACCCTACATTGAAAGATTATATCCTTGAATATTCTGTTCTTGCAAGTATGCATCTAGTAGCTGTTTGAACATCTGTATGGACTCTGATAAAACCACTTCTTCAGGAAGAGAATTCCACATCCTGATTGTTCTTACAGTAAAAAAAACCTTTCCTTTGCCTTAGACGAAATCTTCTTTCTTCCAGTCTAAACACATGGCCTCGTGTCCTATGTAAAGTCCGGTTTGTGAATAGATTTCCACACAATGGTTTGTATTGGCCCCGAATATATTTGTATAAAGTTATCATATGCCCTCTCAGGCGACGTTTTTCTAAACTAAATAGGTTTAAATTTGTTAACCTTTCTTCATAGCCGATAAGTTCCATTCCTTTTATTAATTTTGTAGCCCGCCTCTGCACTTTTTCTAATGCCATAATATCCTTCTTTAGAACAGGTGCCCAAAATTGCACAGCATATTCATGGTTCATCAACTTAAATTTATTACATTTATACCAATATGTGATTTGTTTTTTGTAAAGTCATATAATTGATAACTATACAAATTTATCAAAATAACAAACATTTACTATGAATCCTTTAAATATTTTTTTTTTGCACCTAATTATCTTCGGAAGTCACATGATGTCACGTCTGAGATGATTTACTTTCAGAGCCAGCCTGCGACACATGATAATAAATATCATGGATCTTCTAACTGACTTCCAGGCATAACTGATCGCAGCACCAGAACAGCTATTTACACGGCAAATACAGACGTGCATGCATCAACAAACATCATCAAATAGAAATTATCAAAATAAACACTGAATAAAGTTCTGGGCAAGCAAAAATCAGAAGTTGGATTATAAAAAGATATCCCAAATTTTGAACAGACATAACAGAAATATGGGGAACCATGTGAAGTATCAGATAAACAAAAACTCAAAGTTCCATAACTTCCATAACAGGAAACCAAGTCTCACATAATCGCAGTCCAAGGTGGAACCACTCTGAGGATAATGGAGGCCAGTTATCACAGAGGTTATAAATAATATGAATGGGGAAAGAGGAAACTCAGTGCAAGATGATGAGGAAGATGTAGAAAGAAAGTAGAAGTTTCATGGAAAGTATAATTTTTTAAAAATAGATAATTTGGGTTTTTTTGCCCCCGTTATCAGTCCAACCTCCATTTCTAACTCTGAAACTCCAAATACAATGCCAATGGGTGGGGCAAAGGGAGGACCTGTACTTGGTCCTCCCTGTATGTTACTAGCAATTGGCAATTTAGCAGACATGTCTCCACTCATGGCATGGTGAGTGGGGGCATGGGGCACGTTTAAACATTCCTTGTACTAATGTGGTGCCATTTTGAATTCCAGAGTAACCATAATGGCTCAAACATTGTCCGTTTCAGTTGCTTTGGGATTATGGCATGTGGCAGCTCAGAATTTACTTCTTCAGCCAAATTGATGATGAACGACCGACACTGAAACTCAAAATCTAGTAGAAGTAAATAAAGGATCAACTAGGATGGAGACTAGTGAAAATGAGGAATTAACTAGGATGGAGACTAGTGATTCTATAGCCCTATTTATTCTGTTGTTAGGAGCATGATAAAGTTTTGAAAAAATTATTAAACAAAATATTAGTGGTCACTTACTTTTTGTTTTTTAATATCCCACAAGGTTACATTTTATCGGTATTAAGAAAAACTCAGGATATTTCAGTTTTGATTATATGGCTGTGAATACTGGGACAGATTTTTCCTTTATGAGCACCGGAGCCGTGAGTATCTCTTTTGTGTAATTGCCCTAACGTTTTCATGTCTCCAGCCATCATTATAGTCATGCACTCCTTGAGTATGTCTGTAAACAGGGCCAGTGCAAGGATTATTGCTGCACTAGGAAAAAAAAAATTGCCGCCACATTTGCTCCACAGTGGTCCTGTAGGTTTAACCCCACAAGATAAAACATTGCCTTACCTTGAAGGGTTAAACAAAACTCTAGTAGCTGTCACAGTGACAACCACTAGAGACACCTCCACCAAAATGCCATGTTTACATATAGACACACACAGACTCACACTCAGTCACTCACCCAAACTCAATGGTCCACACAATCACAATCAGTGACCAATGCACACATAAATTCACTGACTCACGCAGAGTGACACACACAGACACACACACACTGACTTAAGCAGACATACACTGACCTATGTAGACTGACATATACACATATACGCACTGGTCCAAGCATACAACACTAAATGATGCAGACACTGACTGATGCAGACTGACATATACACACACACTGACCCATGCAGATACGCACATACAGAGACTGAAGCAAACACATATTGACCCAAGCAGACATGCACTGATCCAGACACACACACAGACCCAAGCAGATATACACACTGACCCAAGCACGCACACGCACACACTGATCCAGACAGACACACACACTGACCAAAGCACACAAACATACTGACTGAAACAGGCTGACACACACACACACCATGAAAGTCTCCCTCTTGCCTTCATTTCATGTTAGCTCTCTGTGGGTCCCAGTCCAGGCCTGGCTGCCTTTACACTCTTATCTCCGCCCCTGCGATCCTCCCACCCACTTGACACCATGTACAGGGGAAGGGGCATGATTGATCGTACGATGTGCCCAAACACTGTCGGAATATGAGGTATGTAGGGGGGCGGCTCTCAGTGCTCTTTGCGTGCTGAGGTTGATGGCACTGGGCGCTAGTTTGACCCTATGTTAGTGCTCCCTATCGCCTGGTGCCATGACCTGCGGCACCCAATGCAGAATGTGTCCCACATAGAGGGGGCAGCCCTAATCAGCAGTAAAGCTGCTACCGTCGCCCCCCTTTAAAAAGCACCCAAGACAGCCGCCTAATCTGCCTATAGGATGCGCCAGTCCCTGTCTGTAAAGTGAGTTCCTTACCAGGAGCCCAGTGACAGAGTCTAAGGGTGTTCTGCCTGCACCCCCTGGTATTTGGGATGAGCTGAACAGTTTTGCCTTTAGGCAAAGAGCTAACCCTGAGCAAGTGAAGGCAGTATTTTTAGGCAGTGCAGGCACAGGGGTCAAACACTGCCTGGAAGAAAGAGAGGGCAGAGGGATCATCAGCAGCCTGGAAAGTGGAGACACAGTGGAAACTATTCTTGCCTGGATTGAAGAGGCAAACAACATAGCAGGACAGGTTGTGATAAAATGTCAGAGACACGTTACTCCCTGTTTCCATTAAACCCCCCTAGTCCAATCACCCAGTGCTAGGTGTGAGGGTTTAAATTCATTCTGTACGCTACGTTCAGGAGATATCACAGGTTTGGAGTTCTAACTATAATAACCTGGAGAACCTATTGTTCTCCTTCCAGCCTCTATTCATTGATGTTGGTTTGGAGGCTTTTAAATTAATATTAACTGGGGGAGAGACCTATCCACTCCCATTGGCAGCACGTGGGAGCTTTAAAATTGATAATAACCCCAGGGGTAATTCAAACCATTGCTTAACTTAGCTCACATGAATAGTATTAATTATTTAATGATATAGGACATTTATAAAAGTAAGAATTGTCAGTAATTCAAAAGGAATTTAAAATGAATTTAATATATAAGGCCAGAATAGCAAAATTGGAAAAGTTTGCCAAGCTAGCTATGCCTGCAGCATGGTTACTTTGGTCTTAAATGTTAAATTCACTTTGAAAGCACAATTCACTTTAAAACATTTTTCACTTAATTAAACAAACCTGTTGGTAAATTGCCTGAAACGGGATAGAAGTCTACAATCTTACCTTTTCTTTTCATGAAGCATAACAGAGCCAGTGCAGCAATGAAAATCAAAATCAAAGAAACAATTCGACCTGCAAACAAAGCTTGACTTGAATCTGACTGTGAAGAATCTGTAAAACACAAACATGATTAAAAACAACAAGGAGGTTATATAGTCTTATTGGTACCATAGCTTAATCTCAGGAAAGAAATGTTTCACTTCTTCAAGAAAAAATGATCATGTTAATATACATACATGTTATGGATCAGGATCATCAAATTACGATACGTAGAAAGGTGGAACTTGACTGATTTATGTAATTTAGGTATTTGGTTGGTCTCTACTTATTTTTGTCATGGATTCCAGGCACAGTTATTTCATAGAAACAACTCTAAACACAATTGTATAGAACCAAATTGAGCTTTGAAGGGACACCCCGGACAAAAATGTGAAGATTTCAATAGAAATTAGCACTTTTGTAATTTAACCTTGTTACACAACCCTGGCTGTCAAGCAGAAAACCAGTCCCGTTACTTCCTGGTTTGGTTAGCTCACTGGAGCTAAACGCAAAGCAGCAATTGCTCAGAGCACCTGCCTTGCAAAGACTTCTCATTGAGCTGCATTGGGAAGTCTGTGATTGGACAGCCACAGAAAGTCTGGGCAGAGTTAGAAGGGGAGGGCTTGCAAAGGCAGCAGACAAGATCTTCAACTTTTATAAGCTGTTTTTAGGTATACATGTAATTAAAAAAAATACATGCATGTTTTCACCAAGGACATTTCTACTAAACAGTGAAATTGCTAAAAAAAAAAATTCAATTTATTTGGGCAGTGAATTACCACAAACAACTGAAGGAACCGCACTTAGTTCTGAATAACCACAGGGTGCATACTGAAGTAAGTCATTTCATTGACCTGGATTTATAAAAATGTTTATTTAGTTTTTTGTTTTTTTTTCAAAGGTTACAAATGTAATTTATAGTCTTGGAAGATACAGATAATTCAAGTAATGTCCAGGTAAATAAAAATGCTTCACATTTTGGCTTATACAGTTAATTTATTTCTATTACTTATATTATTTCATACTTACCATAGAATCTTAGTACTGTTCCAGCTCCTTCCTCCACTATCATATCAAATTTATTAAGCTGACTCCTAGTTGTAACACACAATCGTATTGCCACCCGACAGTAGAAGGTGGTGTTATCTGGCCCCTGGAAGTCTTCTAGAAGGAGATTTGCCTTCCCCACAAGCCGTGTTTTTCCTATGTAATTCTTGTGAATCATGGCAGGGTCTGGGTGATAGGCAAATACATCTCGTGATTCTCCAACCACCCAGTAAATTCCCACCCACACTGGATCTTTGTCTTGTGGCTCAGTGAAGCTGCAGTTGATGGTTGCAGGGCTCTGAAATACTTCTTCAGTTGACTGGTTGATATTCAATGTATTTGTTTTTTCTAAAATTACAATTAAGATGTAGAGTGTTAAGGTATTACATATATTGAGTATATAATGTCAGGTTCATGTAGTACACTTACACTCATATCCATTTATTAAAACTAATATTGTATATGCTGTTGTTTGAAAATATTTATAGAAAATGGTTGCCATCTTGTGGTCGTTATTGCTAGTTGCAAGAGGTGTTACTTTAAAGGGACATGCATCGATTGACAGAGTTTTTTTTAAACCAGCAAGCAAAAATTTTGCACACATCCCTCTATATACCGAGTGACATACAATGCTGTGCGCAGTGAATCCCGTGTACTGAGTCAGTATGATTCACTGTGCAGAGTAGGGTATGTCACTCAGTATAAAGAGAGACTCACTGTGCAGAGCATTGTGTGTGTTAACAGTATGCAGAGGGATTCACACTACAGAGCCTTGTGTATGTCACTCAGTATACAGAGAGACTCAGCCACCCCACATGTAGAATCACACTTTCCCAACTCCCGCAGAAACACACAGTCTACAAACACCCTGTTACTCTCACCCACTCCACAAACATACCCACACTGTCACACTCAATCCTCCAACACACAATTAAACACTAGTCAAATGTTCCAGACAGGGGTATCACCTTTCTCCAAGTGCCCTTCTCTGCCTTCTCTGGCAGCATTCCAGTCATTTTCCTGGCTGTGTTTCATTGCCCTCTTCTGGTTTTGCGAAGTGAATGCCACTTTTCACTGCTACTTTTATTTGTCAACTTATCATGGCTGTATTTACCTTGGTTGGTGTCCCATGGACAGTTTCCCTCATAGTATACATTAATTATTGAATGTATCACAGAGTTCCGCTGTGTTTGAGTGTGAAGGTTGATGTTTGTGAGATGTACGTGGTTAGCTAAATGTGCTTTGAGTGTGATTGTGATTGTGAGTGTGATTGTGAATGTGAGTGTGATTGCCTGTATGGATTAGCTAAATGTTATTGTGGGGCTTGGCTTATTTTGTTTGGCTGGCGGTGAGTATGTGTGGGGGTTGTGTGTTTGTAATAAAAAAATTTTTTAACTGAGTAATCTGGTTTACTTATCTGTTGTGCATTATTTATATTTTTTAAATATATGCCATTTTCAGTGACAAAACATATTATTCAAACTGCTACTTTTAAAAACATTTAAATATTCCCCACAAAGTCATATACACACAGTCATACAGGCAGATATACACACATTTATACAAAGTCATGTAAACACACACAGACAGCAATATAGACAAAGAACTAAGGGCACATTGATAAACACACTCAAAAAGACACATTTACACACACTCATAGTGAGACTTACTCATCCACATATACATGCCCAGATCTATACAGACACTCTGTGCCATCAGTGAAAGAAGGCATTCACAAGCCAGATTGGTGTCATTACAAGAAAACACACACAGGGAAGACAGTGTAGTAGCCATGAAGGATTTAGTTAAGGAAATATATGGAAAGATTCTCTCTGAATATCTGCTATGTCAGCAGTTTGGATTGGGAGTGGGCAAACTGTGACAGGAACAGGAAATAAAACAGTGAGCATATTGTGCCAACAGTATGACCAGAGTCAGGAGGCACACACAGGGGCAGAGTGTACCAGCAGTGACAGGAGCCACACACTGCTGATACCCAAGTAATATGTAGCACCTAAGTAACATGTGTCACCTGCTATATGTTCAATTAATTCCTCAAAGTTTTGCCATTGAGCTGTGTCTAGTGATTGCAATATTAGTTGGTCCATTCTTCTTGAACACAAAGGCTTATCAGGGAAGCCCAAGCTCAACAAACTAAATAAAAACATGTGATAGCAAATAAAAACAGAAAAATATATATAAATGTGCATAAATTGCTTCCTTAAAGGCAGTACTTTATTAAACACCTCTTCTCCTGATGGCAATAAAATACAATATCAGATGAGGTAAGGACAGTACATACTCCACCCTGTGATGGCTTTAGCATAATGGTTCCTCATTTTCACTCTAGATGATTTTCATAACCAAATACATTTCCTGAAACCTGTCTATATCATTGCAAGCCAACTACCCGGGACGTTATTAGGAATCAATCTAAAGAGATAAGTCCGTCTAGGAAGAATATATGCTTTTATGATGTTAATAGTACCACATTAAGTAATCTGAATATTTTTCCATTCATTCAATTGTTTATAGTTTGTTTTAATAAAGGTAGGAAATTTAATTCAATACTTTTTTTAATATCCATACTTATTTCAAGTCCTAAGTAATTTATTGAACCTGCAGGCCCACTTTAAGCCATGAATCTTATCTAGTTCTTTTTTATTCTTATCTTTTGCTAGAATATTAAATGCTAAAGCTAAGGACCTATAAAGATTTACCTTATAACCTGATACTTTTAAAAATTCCCCATCTACAGTCACCACCTCTATCATAGATTGTATTGGACCCTGCAAAGTTAGTATTAAATTATCAGCATACAAATTGATATTAGAGCTGATTCATGGAGTTCCAAACATTTCATCCTATTGTTTATAATTGTTTATACTAGAGTAATTACATAGAGTAGTGGGGAGAATGGGCAGCCATAATTGGTGCCATTCCCAAGACCGAACCATCCAGAGCTGAACCCATTTCACACCAATCTTGCCATTGAATGGGAATATAAGGCCATATCTAAAAAAAACAACAACAAAAAAACTCATATGCCAAATTATATAAGGTCTATCTACGATAACCTCACCTGGCCCTGTTGAATGCCTTCTCAGCATCTGGTGACAGGATCTCAGGACAATAATCTTTCCTTTCTGGACAGTATCTAATATGTCTATTAATCTTTGAATACTATGCATTGATAATCTTCCATGGGTGTATTCTACTTGGTCCAGATGACTTGATTTAACCCCTTGAGGACCGATGACGGTTCAGGACCATCATCTGAAACATCCCCTTGTGGACCGATGATGGTCCTGAACTGTTATAATGGAAATATATACTTACCCAATCACTGCCATTCCCCCGCTGGGGATTGGCATTGTTCCCGGTCTGGGGGGACTGCCTGACAGCCAAGACAGTCCCCCCTTGGCGAATTAGGCCCCCGCGGGCCTGTGATCACTCTATAGGTGTCCGTGAATCTGCCTGCAGGGGTACTGCCTGAACTCACAGGCAGTCCCCCTGCTGGTAAAAAAAAAAGATTTAAAAAAAGTTATAGCAAATCAGTCAGAGTAAAAATAAAATAAAATAAAAATAATAATAATAATAATTAATTATATATATATATATATATATATATATGTATTAAGGCAGTTTTGCCTGTATTTGTGGGAGGGGCTTAAATTAATTCACTCCCCTATATAAGGGACACTTCTCCAACCAGATGGTCAGACGCAGCGTATACCACGGGTTTGGCAGCAATCTACCGGGAACAATTGCTTTGGGGCTGTTGGCCATGGCATCCAGGTTTGGAAATTTTTCCACCACTTCAGCCCCTTTGGGAGATCTACCCCATTGTAGCAGCTGCTGTGGCATGGGGTAAATCATGGTCAGGGTCATCAATCCGTTGTTACTCAGACAACTAAGCACATATCATATCATCAACAAACGCCACTACTCATCCATAAGTTCATGATGTTTCTGGGGAACTCACTTGGTTGGCCACTTATCACATTTCACTCTCATGTACCAGACGGGGGTATACATCCCTGCCGACAACTGTCTCATTTATATTCTAGGCATGTTCATCATACGCTTCCTACAGCCGCCCATACAGTCACGTCCACTCTTTCGTTCCAGAGACAAAATCATGGATTAGACATACTCATGCAGCATAGCATGCACTATCCCACCTAGCACTTTCGTCCCATACTTGTAGAACGCATAACGCAGCTTTTCATCTGGCTTAAACTATCTCATTGGAACACGACATAGCTCAACCTGTGTCACAAAATTTCTCCTAAGTTTTGCTTATTTTTGCCACCTTAAACTATCTCATACACCATTAATTATATATTTTACAGGCATTCAACAACACATGATAACCTATGGCCAAAACTACCATAAACTTCATGCTATCATACCAGAAAAGAATATACTCAGAGGTTTTCAGGAATCCATTCCCCCACGTTCCTCTCAGAGATTACCAATAGCCATCCAACTGTTCATCCTTATCGGACCTATTAGATCTACAACCATTCAATTATACTACCAAGTCGGCCATTACCAGCCATGCACATTGCCTTTTATGCCTTTCTCAGGCCAGAGAATCCACTACCATCACCACCACTCAGACAGATCATTGTCTTCAACGATCCCACGTACGTAAACACATATATCATTACCTATTGGCTCTACCACATTCCGAAATGAGTCAACATGCACCAACAGTAGAGATAACATACTATCCTACCCACAACAAATGGTGCCCACTTTCAGTCCTAGATTCCTACCTTCAAAATCCTTTCAGGAATTAAATACTGTAATGCATTTAAGGAAATGTCTGGTTAATTTGTATATATTTGTTGACTGTATTAAATCTTTGATTATTCATTTTTGCCCTCTTTATTTACAGGCCTACCGTATCGTCGGTATCGCACACCACAACCGACTTGCTCCCTTTACACTATCCTAAGCTTATGCTGGATCCTTACTCCATATACGGCTATTTTGCCCCTTACACAAGTATTAAGGCAGTTTTGCCTGTATTTGTGGGAGGGGCTTAAATTAATTCACTCCCCTATATAAGGGACACCCCTTACCTGACTCATATCGCTTGAGGTCAGCATCAGAATGACCCTCCCACCCACTCCTCATTTCAACACTTTCTCTTTTCTTTCCATTTACTTTACTTTCTTACTCCTTGGTGGGCCCTCTTTATTTACAGGCCTACCGTATCGACTTGCTCCCTTTACACTATCCTAAGCTTATGCTGGATCCTTACTCCATATACGGCTATTTTGCCCCTTACACAAATATATATATATATATCTTATATATAATGTCAAACTAAGTAGAAGTAGTGGAGTATCTGGTGAGTGCGTGAGGTGAGAAACCAGGAGCATATCCAGAACATGTACAGGGCCCCACAAATTCTTGGTAGGGAAGAGGGGAATGATAGTGGAATAGGCAGAGTGATTAGTTTTGGTAGAAGGCAGCGTGAGTACAAAATGGTCATCTACTTTCTTTAAGAGATAAAGTTTGAGGCATCGTACTGTGTCTCCATGACATATCACGGTGAAATCTCTAGGTCTGAGGAAACCGTTGAAAGCCATAAAGATGGCAGATTTCATGACTAAATTAGTATTATGGTCAAACAGGGATTTGTCCAATAGGTCGCTAAGGAGCCGGAATATTGGACCGTCTATTGGTAGCCTAGTCGTGCTAAGAGGGACTGTGACCTTGAAAATACCTTTGAGGATTTTCTTAATGTGGTAGGAAGAAAGAAAAGTAGCGTGGTTAGGGAAATTAGTGAGGATGTGGTGTTGTACTCCGGTAAGGTAGAGTTTGATGATATTATGTGAAAGTTTTAGGTGTAAATGGCAAAAGGAGGCAAAAGCCACCATGGTTTTGATGGAAAGGTCACCTTGTAAGAAAAACTCGGCTGTGAATTTGTTAAAGATACTCAGTGCCCTAGCGTAAGAGATAGTGGTGTTGGGAGACAGTGCGTGGTACGGGAGTGTTTGCGTGTGGAGTAATAGTTTGTTTAAACCAGAGTTAGCCGGAGGAACGATGGTGTCCCGGCTGATTGGAGGTGGACTGGAGGGGGAGCCTGGCCGGAGACCTGAAATTTAAGAGCATGAAAGAGTGTTAGCAGCTGAGTAGAGGAGGTGTAGTAAATGAGGTGTAAGATATATCTATCTTGCTTAACCATGTATCCCTACATGCTGGAATAATAGAATGTAGGCAAATTACAACAAAATTACACATTGGTATGACAGAAACTACTCCAGGATCTGGAGGGAAAGGAAAAAGATACGAAATGTCAAATAACAACTTTTATTACTTGGAGTGCAAGTAAGCAGCCCCCTGTGATGGGTTTGTAGGGGATAGTTTGGATATTTTGCCGGAGCTGCACCCTCTTTATCAGACAGGATCCTGGGAATCAGTCAAGAAGACAAGAGATGTGTTCTATAACCAATTCAAATTTTAATTGATACATCAGTTATACTTATACCCCATTTTCATGTCGGTGGGGGTCATTAAGCATTGTGACATAGTTTATTTTTCACAAGTTGTTTTCAGTTATAATTCGATGTTACATAATGTATGCATATTGGATAAAACCCAGATGATTACAAATACAGAAATCTTGGACAATTAACAAGGTCATTCCAGAATCCTTATATCATGTCATGTCATGTCATGTCATGTCACGCCATGTCATGTCACGCCATGTCATGTCATGTCATGTCATGTCACGCAAATATCTTCTTTCCAGGAACATGACAAAATCATGCTTCAATAACATTTCTGAGAATTGGAGATACAATTCCAAATTTATTCTTGATTCAAATTAACCCTTACATGAACAGTTAGGATATAGAGCAAAATGGATATTCATATCCTACAATTCCTCTCTTTAGATCATATCGTGATCTACCTTATGGAATATCCATGGGAGGCCTGCGGCAGAGAAACGAAAGGAGGTATATTCAGACGTGCTAATCACGTCTGCGGGACTTTCCTTATTTCTTCACCTCGATTTCCCCCATTTGCTCTATGCCGTAGGTTTTCCCTTTAAGAGGAGATCGAGCTGTCGATTTTCAGCTTTTGTAATCATCTGTTGTACACGTTTCTTAAGTGTGCAAGTTAGATAACAATTAAACAATATCATTATTGCAAGTATTATCACAATGATGACAAGAGGGTAGAAAAAGGACCTTACAACTTGTGCGCCAGTAGGGGACCAACCTGTGAGGGCATCATACCAATGATGAGCAAAATTTTCCTGGATTTTAGAACTAACTTTAATTAATTCCCTTTCAACTATGTGGGTGGATATTTCAGTATGTACTAAGGCATCTTTATGTGCTTTCAAATGTTTAAACATATCTCCTTTTCCTCTTAGTAAATTAATTATTATTCCTGTAGGAAGTTGATAATCAACGATAGGTAACGCAGGTGGAATATATTTTTTAGATCTGTATATACTAGGAATAGGTTGCAGGAAATAAGTATGATCTTTCCATTTTATCCAGGTTGCATTTGATATACATCCTACAAAGGGTAAATGTTTATCAACTTCGGGAATATTGACAGGTTGTTTGGTAGCTAGGCACACTATTTGTGGTTCTATTTCTAACATAACTGAATAATCCGATGGATATACATGCCAAGTACAACTACTTATTTGATTAGCTAATAAGCATGGTTCATAGATGGGTGAGGAATGTCTGCATGTGTAACCTTTATCTGCCTTGTCACAGTGTTCTAATGAATATGTTTTATTATCCTTGGGGAATATATATTCTCCTGTAAAAGTTGGATTCCACCAAGTAAGATTATCATTAAGTATATTAAACATAGGTGTAGGTAAAGTAAAGAACTTACATGCTAGTTTTATATGGGTTGGAGCAACTTCATATAAGGTAAATCCAATCCTACATGAATAACTCGATATCTCATCTTCTACCCATTCTTCACAATCTACATCATTTGACCTTAAACTAATCCAATAATTGTCAGTCAATTCCATCATTTCTCTGACTTTCTGTATTTTAGGTACCATAAGAGTATTCTCTAGTCTTAACCTTTGTTGATGCATCCATAAAACTCTAGTGGCACATAAGGTCCAGTCAGTGCTTCCTTTTGTTAGGTTAGTAATAGCATATGTTAGATTACCCAGATAGGTGTACATAGATTGTTCTAATTGTAATTCCTTCCATTGTGATTGTACCATGGTAGGGGCCCATTTAGCCATTACATGAAATCCTATCCCTAATTCTTTCCCTGCCGTAGATAACTTATTCTTTAGTATTTCCATGTCTACACCATTTAATATTCCCATAGCTGTTCCTGTACCCCCTAAGAGGGTATTATACCATTCTCTCTTCTCTCTATTAGGTAGTGGATTACATAATCGTACATCAGGTGTAGATATATTTAGTGTTATGTGTACAGCCTTCTGAATTATAGTAGTGTTTACACATGATGAGGGTATTGGAATATGGGAATAATTATGAACAGTAGGTGTAGTATGTGGGCTACAATATAATAAAACCGCGAACCAACCTCTGTTCTCTATTCTACTTCTATTATATATGATACGGACGTATCCTCTAGGCCATGTGGCATTATACATGCTATGAACATTATCAGGAGCGATAGAAGTAAGGGGAACTGGATTGTCTTGATCTAAGGAAACATTAGTATTTTGCAAATAATAAAATATTGAACCAACTCCTTTGTTTGTGAAAGGATAAGGTTCTGAAAATAGCCAAGCAAGAGTATAAAAACCAGTAGTGTTAGTAATTGTTATAGAGCAATTTACGGAATCATCATGCAATGGTTTGACCACTACTTGTGCAGTCTTTGCAGCAATGCATATTTGACCTTTAGTTGTAATATTAAGTACAAGGCAGGTTTTGCCGCCATTACATATAAAATCCTCTTGTGTTCTAGTCTCTTTAGCACGGCTCCACCAAAATACTGATTTAGAAGAACAATTGGTGTAAGTTTGCAAAGTCTTGTCTGTGGGTAGTGATCTTTTGTGTCTGGTTCTATTAGTAGGATGATCAAGGCCTAATTGGACACTGTAACTGGTGGAGTTGTGATCTTTCCAGAAGCAGACCTTCTGGAACTCTCTCATATTCTCATAATCATAGTGACAATCAAGAAGGACAATCAGCGGTAGGAAGAGAATCATGGAGAGAATTAGGATGATGAAAAAATTCTTTGCCCCATGCAAGGGATCCAATAGGTTTACTTTAGCCATAGCACTTCAGATAAGGATGTTGGGTCGTCAGGGCCAATCGGAGTAAGGACCTTAAGCTTGTCTCCTACTTCACCTCTCTTTGGACACGGCTTCAGACGGGATGCATGGATCCAGATATCTTGGGAATCGGTGAGCACAGCGGTTCGGGTCACGGCAATCACAGTGGTAGGCGGACCAAAAGGAAACTTTCCCTTCCTGCTCTTGTTCAGCTGTCGGATACAGACCAGATCACCAGGCTGATAAGGATGTGTAGGTTCCTGTGAGGGTAGAGGAAACTGCACGGAAACATCACCATATACAGAGTTGAGTTTAAAAATTAACTGTTTAACATATTCTTCCTGGATTAAGTCTAAATCACCAGGCATAATAACAAATCGTCCCTTCACCCAAGGAGTAGGAAATGGTCTTCCCATGAGTATTTCAAATGGTGACAATTTAGTAGTCCTGCTAGGGGTCATTCTTATTTCAGCTAAAATAGCAGGTAAGTATGTTTGCCAGTGAACCCATGTGCCATCTGTGGCCTTCATCAGTTTCTCCTTAATTGTCCTATTCATTCTTTCTACTATACCTGAACTCTGGGGATGGTAGGGTACATTAAATTTCCAGGTAACCTGTAACCATTTGGCCAGTTCCTGTGTAACTTTGCTAGCAAAGGCAGGGCCATTATCAGAATTGATCTGCAATGGGCAGCCATACCTAGGAATAATTTCAGTGGTCAGTATTTTCACCACAGTCCTAGCATCCTCCTTATTAGTAACAAAGGCCTCGGGCCATTTTGAGAAGTGATCCACAATCACCAGTAAGTATTGTTGTCGCTTACCTGTTTTGGGGATGTGGGTGAAATCTACCTGTAAATGGGTGAAAGGGCCTGTAGGTGGTGGGAGGTGTTCATGTCTAGCCTTATGTGTGACAGTAGTATTGGTCTGTAAGCATTGGACACACCTCTGTAAGTATACCTGACAGTGGAGAGAAAGATTCAAGATTACAAAATGTTGTTGAATAAGACCCAAAGTAACCTTAAGACCCTTGTGACCCACTCCGTGTGCCTGGGAAATAAAAATAGGGGCACTGCTTTCTGGTATCCCTATCTTCCCCTCTTTGGAATAAAGGCCATTTTGGTCTTTTTCCAAACCTTGTTTTTTCCAGTATGCAATATCTTCATGGGTTGCAAAACCCTGAAGTTCTTGCAACAACTGTTCTTCTGGGCAGGTAGGGGGACTAAAAATTGAAAATATCATACGATAATAAATGGTCTGAGATGCTACCTCTTTGGCAATTCTATCTGCTAGTGCATTGCCTAGGGATATATCATCCCTACCTTGAGTGTGAGCTCTACAGTGAATGATAGACACTGTACGAGGAAGTTGCAAAGCATGCAAGAGGTCTTCAATTAATGTCTTATGAGAAATGCCTTTACCATCAGCTGCAATGAATCCTCTTTGTTTCCAAATCATTCCAAAATCATGCACAACCCCATGAGCGTAACGTGAGTCAGTGTAAATATTTACATCTTTGTTAGTGAATAGAGTGCATGCACGTGTGAGGGCAACCAACTCAGCAGCTTGGGCTGACATGTGGGGTATGGAGCTAGCCTCAAGGACCTTATCAGGTAATTGGACTACTGCATACCCAGTCTGGTACTGACCGTCAACAGGTCGGGAACAAGATCCATCCACAAACACATCCTCAGAACCTGGCTGAGGGGTATCCATGAGGTCTAAGCGTGGGGAGGTATGTGTATGTATAGTATGAATACAGTCATGTTCTTCTGGCTGAGTTTTGCTTAGATTAGGGTTGTCATGAGTAAGGATAGCATGCAGTACACTCATAGGGCCAGAATTAATAGGGCCGTACTTGATCTGTAAATTAGTAGAATTTAAGAGAATTATTTCATAACCACTTAATCTTTGTGCTGTCATGTGTTGTGTAGTGAGATTCTTGATCAAATGCAACACTTGGTGTGATGTATGGAGAATAGTGGGATGGCCCAGAGTGATAGTAGTAGCAGTCTCAACAGCCATTGCACAAGCAGCCAGGGCCCTAAGACACGCCGGCATCCTCTGAACCGGAACAGGGACTACTTTGGAGAAAAATGCTACAGGACGCATACCACCTCCATGTTCCTGAGCACAGACCGCAGCCATGGTTTTACAGTTGTCCCTTGCATAAAGATGAAATGGTTTACAATAATTAGGCAGTCCTAAAGCTGGGGCCTGCATAATGCCTACTTTAAGTGCCACATATGCATTGTCCATTTCAGGTGACCATCTGATGTAATCTGGGCTGTCCCCTTTTACAGCCATTCTCAAAATTGAGTCGTAGTATGAACATTCAGGTATCCACTGGCGACAGTAATTGATCATACCCAAGAAGGTGAGCAACTCCTTCTTTGTAACAGGTTTGGGTATCCTTTGTAGAGCTTCAATACGTTTGGAGCTGAGGGAGCGTGTGCCTTGTTGTAACACAAATCCCAGATAGTCAACCTTCTCTGCACCCAATTGGATTTTATGCTTGGCTACCTTGTGGCCTTCCAGTGCTAAATGTTTCAATAAGCTGACAGTGTCTTGTGTGCTGGCTTCCCAGTCAGGACTGCACAGCAGTATATCATCAACATACTGCAGCAGGACGGAACCATGACCAGGGGTCCATGACTTAAGGGTTTGTTGGAGCACCAGTGAATAAACAGCTGGTGAGTCCATGTAGCCCTGGGGAAGGCGAGTCCAGGTGTACTGAACCCCCTCAAAAGTGAAAGCCATAAGTAGTTGTGTCTCTTGGTCAACAGGGACCGAGAAAAATGCATTACTTAAGTCAATGACTGTAAAATACTTAGCTTCATGAGGAATGGCTGTTATCAGAGTGTTAACATCAGGGACAATTGGGGCTATTGGAATAATCAAATTGTTAATGGCCCTAAGGTCTTGAACAAATCTGTAGTCCTTGGTAGCCTTAGGGACCGGGTTAATAGGGGAGTTATAGGGGGAGACTACAGGCCTGAGTATACCCTGTTGAAGGAAGGACTGGATCATAGGTCTGATCCCATCCTTCTTTTCCTGTGACAGGGGATACTGTTTAATATAAATTGGGCTGACATCAGGACGTAGTTTTGCTTTATAAGGGGTACAGTTTATGTATCCTACATCTAGCTTGGATGAAGCCCATACAGAAGCAGGTACCTCATCCATATCCATCTGCAGAAAAATTCCAGAGGATGGGGCAGTAAGGGAAACTGCCATACCACCCTCAGGGGAAAAATCCACAGTTGTACCCAGTAGTCCAAGGAGATCCCTCCCTAGGAGACTAACAGGGCACCCTGGGATTAGGCTAAACTGGTGGCGTAGAGAAATAGGGGAGTGGGGTAATTTAATTTCCAAAGGGATAGTTTTGAAGGTTTTTGTTAACACTCCATTTATTCCCACAGAAGGTGTCGACTTTTCCCTTGAACCTCTATATACATCCATACAAATGGTGGAACAGGTTGCACCCGTGTCTACAATAAAGGGCATGTCCCTCCCATTTACATTGAGGACTATAAAGGGTTGTTCCATAAAATTAGAGGACAATACAGGAAAAGCTGGGGTGTTACCTTCTGGGCAGCCCTATGGCCATTGAATGTGATGGGTAGGGCCAGATGAAGTTTTAGGGCCAGAGGGGGTATTAGGGGCAGGAGAGCGATGCTGTGGGGGGGTAGTGGGGCTGTTGGGGTATCCATGGGCGACCTGGGGTCTGTTCAGCCTGTCCAGTCTTTTGTCTGATAGGGTTGGGGCACTCATTCATCCAGTGTCCCTGCCTTCCACAGTTAAAACAATATGTCCTTCTATTAGTAAATGGTTGGGACCTATTTCCTCCACGTCCTCTTCCCCCTGGACCCCTAAATCCTCTTTGGTTTAATCTCCTATCACCTCCAAAATCTCTCTGTCTTGCACGATTAGGATCACAATGCTGTAAACCCTGTGACTGATACAACATACTCTTTCCATCTTTACCAATAGCAAAACAACCTGCTGCTTCTCTCTCATGTATTTTCTGCAAGAATTTAACTGGAGTTAAAGTTGACCACTCTGAAATCAGCTGTTTAACTAGCAGTGAATATGCTGGAAGCATATTCCCAATGCAAGTCTGTATTTTTAAAGAACCCATACCACTTTCCTCTGAACCAAGTCCAGCTTCATCTTTCCAACATTTATAAAACCTTTTAGTGAATTCTGTCACTGTCTCCTTTGTGCCCTGTTTACAGGACAAAGCAGTGGAGATAGACTGCTTGTCTTTCCATAATCTCATCATCTCTGTTTTTACTTCATCCCACATAATGTCTCTCCCTTTTTCCGTGGCTAATGGATAAGTACTCACTGTGGTTCCATCAAGTGGAACACTGACAGTGGTTACTCTATTCCATTCCCACCCAGATTCTGAGTCATAATCTAATAGTCCATCAATAATTAACTTTATGTCAATCTGTGTCATATTCTGTCCTTGGCACATTCTCTTCAAGTACATAATACATGCAGAAGGATTCGTTCTAGGATTTGGAGCTCCTTTAATTATGTCCTTCAATTCTCCTGGAGTTAAAGGTTTCAAAATTAATTGATCTCCAACAGTCAGAAAAGGATATGTCTGTTGTGTGTCTAATTCATCAAATTCTTCTTCCCCTTCCTCCTCTCCATCATCTTTATCTGTTCTTTTTACACCCAGCCCCATCTTTTTCTTATACCTAGTCTGGATACCCTTAGGGGACCTTCGCTGAATTTGTTTAACCTTCTCATCTTGGGGAGAAAGGGAACTTGATGGAGCAGTGGCTATTCTTTGTGATCCAACTGCTACAGCAAGAACTAAATCATCGTCATTTTTAGGTGATAGGTTAGGATATAGTGGGCTAAAGTATGGGGTGTAATTAGGAGGAGGCTGTGATTTGCAGGTATTAACAACAGTTTCTTTAATTTTCTTTTTATTCTTTTTATTCTTTTTTATCCTTTTCCCCTCTTGGGAAACAGGGTACCAGTGAGGTGCAACCTTAAGCCAATTCTCACCCCCCTGTCTCATGTATTCTTTGTCCCATTCTGGATCTCCCTCATACCAAGGAAAAGATTTCTTATCTTCCAAACATAATCCCTTAACCATACTCAGAAAATAATCATCATTAGCCCCGTCTTTAGGGAAGGGAGTTTCACTGCCCTGTCCTTGTGTCCACCCTGACAAATTGTCCACCCAAGGATCCACTAAATAATCCCCCAGTTCACCAACTCTAGCAACATACTGCTTGCAAGTCTCCCCTGGATTAGGGCGAGGGTATTTTTTAGACTGGGAAGTACCCATTTCAAACTCAATAAGAATCGGATTTGGAATAGCTGATTATTCAGTGGTTAAAGAACAGCTGTCTGGAATCAAAAGTTCCCACAAAACTGTTACTTCTCCACGAGCAGTATCGCTTAAAACCAGAAATTCCAATTCCTTGCACAATTATATAAAAAGCCACCAAATATATTGCATGCAAAAAAAAGTTGCAGGACAGCCAAAATACCCATCAAGTACAGAGTTAACAATTCTGTTCCTTTTTTTTTTTTTTAACAAACTAACAACCAAGTTAAATCAATACCAAAGTCCACCAAAGACTGGAAATCTGTTTTACAACCTACCAAAGGTAACCTCTACCAAAGAGGGGTCTAGGGACGTCTCCCATAGACAAGTAAGGCTTTACTCCTACCCAAGGAGACCTTATAAAATCTTAAATCCCCTTTCAATAAAAACGTAGTTATGCAATGTATGAAGGATGGAAAAAGAAAAGTAAAAGAACAAAGGTGAAAAAGACACCCAATTCTCTTACCTGATCTCTTTCGTTCCGTTCACAAATGCACCCCAAAAACTTCTGACACCAATTTGTAGGGGATAGTTTGGATATTTTGCCGGAGCTGCACCCTCTTTATCAGACAGGATCCTGGGAATCAGTCAAGAAGACAAGAGATGTGTTCTATAACCAATTCAAATTTTAATTGATACATCAGTTATACTTATACCCCATTTTCATGTCGGTGGGGGTCATTAAGCATTGTGACATAGTTTATTTTTCACAAGTTGTTTTCAGTTATAATTCGATGTTACATAATGTATGCATATTGGATAAAACCCAGATGATTACAAATACAGAAATCTTGGACAATTAACAAGGTCATTCCAGAATCCTTATCATGTCATGTCATGTCATGTCACTCCATGTCATGTCACGCCATGTCATGTCATGTCATGTCATGTCACGCAAATATCTTCTTTCCAGGAACATGACAAAATCATGCTTCAATAACATTTCTGAGAATTGGAGATACAATTCCAAATTTATTCTTGATTCAAATTAACCCTTACATGAACAGTTAGGATATAGAGCAAAATGGATATTCATATCCTACAGGGTTAGGTTGTGAACGGGATGGGACATGGTCTGGACGTGGTGTTGTCATATGATTTGATGCTTGATGAACCATCTTATTTGTTAGGTGTCAGACGGTTCGGCACATGGTCTTGGTGTGGGCTCTGAAGCATATGGAGCAGATGTGCAACAACCTGCATGTGCTGTAGCTGCATATGCCTGTGTTAAAGTTATTGCACACCTGCGCCTTACCCAAGAATGTGATGGGTCTGCCCAGCTTGTCTCTCTGGACACCTTCCTGTCTTGGGAGTGGGGTGAGGGTGTGGTGGGGTAAGGAAGTGGAAGGGTCTGCGTCCCCAGGGCATAGATCAGTGGAGTGTGAAGTGGAACCACAAGAGGCACAAGATGGGGGCCTCAAACCAGCGAAATGACGGCAGAATAACTCAGTATCTATCTGACACCAATCGAACTAGAAAACATCAAGTGTTGGTGGTATAGTGGTGAGCATAGCTGCCTTCCAAGCAGTTGACCCGGGTTTGATTCCCGGCCAACGCATGAGGACCCTCCATACTTGATGCCCAGATACACCATCTTGTGCATAAATCAAGCTCTTCTCTCCTATGTGGGTACACTGTTGCAATAAGTGCCAAATGTGATAACAAATTGTGGGATGGTGAGTTTTTTATTCAAACGTGGGTCTCTAGCTCTTAATACAACTGAAATGTCCCCGTAGTTATTTGCTCAATTTTCTAGGATGTCTTGGGAGACTAAGTAATGATATGTAGAAATTAAAACAGAATTAACACTTAATATAATAGTAACATGGAGAGTAAGGCATCTTTAAACCTGGTGTGTTTACATTTTTTAGCCCACTTTGGGAGGTGGGAGGGTATTGTAAAAAAGGCTGTGGAGGCTGAAATGAGGCCTCAGGAGAAACGTAAAATTTTAACCTTTTTTAACTGATACAGTGACACAGGATACTGGAACCACCTCCTATCTTCTTGAAGAAACAGTAGTACAACCTAAAACATTTTTCATTTAGTAAGAATAAGGAGCCTGAGTATAGTGTTTCAATATAAACAGAGATTTAGAAATAAGAGCTACTGAAAAAAGTGAGCGTGGAGCTTGATAAATTTAAGAGATTTGATGGGGCTCAGACCATTGAGAGAGGAAAAAACAAACCGTAAAGGGGTTAACTGAATATATGCATAATTAATTGTGGCAACGAGTGGCGAATAATGCCATTTAGACTAAGGGAAAACGTATCGAGAACCGTGAACATATATTATAAATTAATACATAGAGGAACATACTTAAATATTAAAATGCTTAAAACCTCATGCGTTCGGCTAACGAACGTGCAAGAGGAATATAATAGGACCACATGTGATAGATTTTTTTAAAAATGAAATACTAGTAACGAGTGGCGAATAATGCCATTTAGACTAAGGGAAAACGTAGGGAGAACCGTGAACATATATTATAAATTAATACATAGAGGAACATACTTAAATATTAAAATGCTTAAAACCTCATGCGTTCGGCTAACGAACGTGCAAGAGGAATATAATAGGACCACATGTGATAGATTTTTTTAAAAATGAAATACTAGTAACGAGTGGCGAATAATGCCATTTAGACTAAGGGAAAACGTAGGGAGAACCGTGAACATATATTATAAATTAATACATAGAGGAACATACTTAAATATTAAAATGCTTAAAACCTCATGCGTTCGGCTAACGAACATGCAAGAGGAATATAATAGGACAACATGTGATAGATTTTTTAAAAATGAAATACTAGTAACAAAGCCATGTGTTTTGTCTAACGAAAGAGAGAAACAGGCAAATGTAAGGTGAGTATAAGCATTCGGTAAAATATTTTAACAAAAGAAGAACAAAAGTGTGTGTACTCTGCGGTCGGCTAAAAAGCCGCACGAACGCAGAAGTACACGAACGGCGGAATTACACAAACAGGTAAGTAATATATATATCTAGGAAGCCTATCCCCACAGTTTTAGGCCTGAATGTGGGATATAGCCGAACGCTATTTCCCACGTTGATGCTTACGTGTGCAAGCCGGTGTCGTGACCGGAAGCCCGATAGCCAGGTAATGAGTAGGATATACCGCGGGGCAGCCGGTGAACGAGCCCAAAGGAGGCAAGACTCGGAAGGAACAATGGACCGGAAATGCAGGTAACTATGGAAGTCAAAGCAGCTTGAACTGCAAAGGTAAGTAGGGGGGTAGGGTTTATAAAGGGTCATAACTCCTCCCACAAATTCAGGCCAAATGGCCTTCCAACATATATATATATCCATATACAAAATTACATAAATAATAGACTTAACATATGTAAATATGTATATATTTATATTCTACATGCATATTTATGTAATATTTTTCATAATTAAGTAATTTTATTGATTGCAATTTGAGGGCCCTGCCTGACAACCCAGGCCGAAAGTCCAGAGAATGTGATTTGCTAGCACTGTATTTAACCCTGTAACTTTCTATGACACCCTAAAACCTGTACATTGGGGGGTACTATTTTACTCTGGAGACTTTGCTGAACACAAATATTAGTGTTTCAAAACAGTAAAGCATATCGCAGCGATGATATTGTCAGTAAAAATTATGTTTTTTGCATTTTTCAAAAGGCACTTTCAATTATGATATTATTGTTGTGATACGTTTTACTGTACAGGTTTTATAGTGTTTTTGAAAGTTACAGGGTCAAATATAGACTTGATTTTCTATTTTTTTACATTGAAATTTTCCAGGTTGGTTATGTTGCCTTTGAGAGCGTATGGTAGCGCAGGAATGAGAATTACCCCATGATGGCATACCATTTGCAATAGTAGACAACCCAAGGTATTGCAAATGGGGTATGTTCAGTCTTTTTTAGTAGCCCCCATGATTGCATACCATAATTGTTTTTTGCATTTTTAACACACAAACAAATATAAATGCTAACTTTGAATACCCTGGGTACATAAAATGATGTACATGTGAGGTGTGATTCGGAGATTTATGACAGATAACAGTGTTACAATGTCACTATTGATACATTTAAAAATGTATATTTTGAAACAGCAAAAACTCTGTGTTTTTAAACTCAGGACAAAACGTTTAATCTATTTAAAAACATAAAAGATAAATAAAAGATTTGTAAAAGTAAAAGTAAAAAAAATTGTTTTTTTTTTCAATTTTTCACCATACTTTTTTTTTTTTTAAAGCAAATTATATGACATCATACAAATAATGGTATAAAAAGAAAGCCCTTCTTGTCCTAAAAAAACACAATATATTATTTGTATGGGAACAGTAAATGAGAGAGAGGAAAATTACAGCTAAGCACAAACACCACAAAAGTGTTAAACAGCTCTGGTCCTTAATGTACAACATGGCCAAAACAGTCCGATCTTTAAGGGGTTATTTTAGCAGTAAAGATTGAAGAATATAGTTTCATATCTACATTTTGCAAAGCTAGTGGATGATAATTAGCAGCATTAAGACTGTATTTATCCTGTTTCAAGATAAGAACTATATTGTAACATTTGTCTTGGAATCAATTTCTTCGTACCAAAGTCACTGAATACATTCAATAGATTTCTTAAAAAAAAATTAATATTGTCTCTAATTAATATATAAAATCTATTAGTAAATCCATCTGAACCAGGGGACTTGCCATTCATAGTTTATCAATCACTCTGTTAATCTCTTCTTCTTTAATAGTTTTCAATAAGCTTAATTGATATCTTTTGAAAATTATATATTTTTTAGAAAATCATTGATAGTATTTGCAGATGGAGAAAATGGTAGGTTATAAAAGGATTTATAAAATTCCTCAAAAGCTTATTAGACAGGAGTCTGTCAGGTCTATTAGCCCTGTAATACTATTTCCTTTTTAACCCATCCAACATATAGTTAGCTCTATTTATTAATGCTTTATTGATAGTCTTTTATTTTTTGAGTGATTTCCCTAGAAGGAGTGTCTTTATTCTGAGAACCAAGTGTATCTAAATTTACATATAATTCGGCAAAACCTGGAGATCTAATTTTCTTTTCATATTGTTTCAATGATTTACTAAATATTATTATCTTCAATGTAATAGATATAACACATTCAATATGTATTTTTGTAATGATATAATATTTTATATATACCCACTTCCCCAGATAGCAAAATAGTAATGTTTGTTGGCTGGGAATCTGTGGTTTTAATAGTAATATTTAATATAACGAAGGTATCCTGGCCAGCTCAGAGCTCTTTAGTTTAGTTTTTTTGCGAAAAACTAAGGAGATCACAGAACATTGTGTTAGGTGAATACATTTCAACCTTCTGAAGTTAAACCCTTCTTTATTGTTGTATATATATTGCTGTAAAATATCCTGAATGTTATGCAATGTTTCACTGCAAGTCTGTATTCAACCTCATTCTATTAGATGGAATTAAAGAATAAAATAAGATAAATACCTTTGATTATGAGTTGAGTTCCATTGACTCGTTTAGTTGAATAAACGGTTCCAGTCTTATTCCATTCCACTCTGCAGCAATAAAATCCAGAGTCAGAAATGTTGACTTGCTTGATTTGTAAATGAGCCAGTTCTTCGAATAAAGAGAATTGTGAATTATGTCTCTTATCAGAACTGTTAAAAAGTGATGGTCCTGAGCCCATATCACTGCACTTGGACCACTGCACATTAGATAGAGAGATACTGGAGCCATCAATAGTTGAGTAGTTGCAAGGAATGATCACTGTGTCACCAGAAAGCGCTGGAATATACTGCGGTTGGTGAATAGCCAATGAACTATTATCTGAGAAAGAGAAAATAGTAAATATAAGTGATGTTTATCAATGCCATTTTCTGAAGGTATGGGAGGTGTGCATGAAATTGCTTTTATTGAGAAAGCGTTCCTCTAGATTTCTTGCTTCTCATCAAATTAACTTAAGTGTGCACAGTGCTTACTTATAATAACCTCACATATGTGATTATGTCCTATTATATAAAGGAAGGACTGAAGATAAAGTTAAATCTAACAAAATAAAACTAAGAGCTTCATAATGTAGTATATATTGCACAATAAGGTATATACATTATCTTGATTAAGGACTAAACCATCAAAACATATTCCTTTTGCCCTTTACATAAGAAAAAGACAATAAAATATAATAGTTATATAAAACCTCCCTTTTTTCTATATAAAGCACATTGTGCACATGTGATTTATTTTGAAAGTCATGAGAGTTTGCCTATTCATTCATTTATGTATGTATATATATATATACAGTTGCAAGAAAAAGTATGTGAACCCTTTGGAATGATATGGATTTCTGCACAAATTAGTTATAAAACGTGATCTGATCTTCATCTAAGTCACAACAATAAACGATCACAGTCTGCTTAAACTGATAACACACAAAGAATTAAATGTTGCCATGTTTTTATTGAACACACCATGTAAACATTCACAGTGCAGGTGGAAAAAGTATGTGAACCCTTGGATTTAATAACTGGTTGAACCTCCTTTGGCAGCAATAACTTCAACCAAACATTTCCTGTAGTTGCAGATCAGACGTGCACAGCGGTCAGGAGTAATTCTTGACCATTCCTCTTTACAGAACTATTTCAGTTCAGCAATATTCTTGGGATGTCTGGTGTGAATCGCTTTCTTAAAGGTCATGCAACAGCATCTCAATCAGGTTGAGGTCAGGACTCTGACTGGGCCACTTCAGAAGGCATATTTTCTTCTGTTTAAGCCATTCTGTTGTTGATTTACTTCTATGCTTTGGGTCATTGTCCTGTTGCAAGACCCATCTTCTGTTGAGCTTCAGCTGGATGACAGATGGTCTTAAGTTCTCCAGCAAAATGTCTTGATAAACTTAGGAATTCATTTTTCCTTCGATGATAGAAATCTGTCCAGGCCCTGATGCAGCAAAGCAGGCCCAAACCATGATGCTCCCACCACCATGCTTCACAGTTGGGATGAGGTTTTGATGTTGGTGTGCCGTGCCTTTTTTTCGCCACATATAGTGTTGTGTGTTTCTTCCAAACAACTCAACTTTGGTTTCATCTGTCCACAGAATATTTTGCCAGTACTGCTGTGGAACATCCAGGTGCTCCTGTGTAAACTGTAAACGTGCAGCAATATTTTTTTTGGACAGCAGTGGCTTCCTCCCATGAAATCCATTCTTGTTTAGTGATTTACGTATTGTAGCTTCACTAACAGGGATGTTAGCATTTGCCAGTGACTTTTGTAAGTCTTTAACCTACACTCTAGGATTCTTCTTCACCTAATTGAGCAGTCTGCGCTGTGCTCTTGCAGTCATCTTTACAGGACGGCCACTCCTAGGGAGAGTAGCAGCAGTGCTGAACTTTCTCCATTTATAGACAATTTGTCTTACCGTGGACTGATAAACAGCAAGGCTTTTGTAGATACTTTTAGAGCCCTTTCCAGCTTTATGCAAGGCAACGATTCTTAATCGTAGGTCTTCTGAGAGCTCTTTTGTGCGAGGTATCATTCACATCAGGCAATGCTTCTTGTGAAAAGCAAACCCAGAACTGGTGTGTGTGTTTTTATAGGGCAGGGCAGCTGTAACCAAAACCTCTAATCTTATCTCATTGATTGGACTCCAGTTGGCTGACATCTAACTCCAATTAGCTCTTGGAGATGTCATTAGTCTAGGGTTTCACATACTTTTTTCCCCCTGCACTGTGAATGTTTACATGGTGTGTTCAATAAAAACATGGCAACATTTCATTCTTTGTGTGTTATTAGTTTAAGCAGACTGTGATTGTCTATTGTTGTGACTTAGATGATGATCAGATCACATTTTATGACCAATTTGTGCAGAAATCCATATCATTCCAAAGGGTTCACATACTTTTTCTTGCAACTGTATATATATATATATATATATATATATATATATGTGTGTATATATGTATATATATATATATATATATATATATGTGTGTGTGTATAATGTATATGTGTATGTTTATAATTAACTAAATCCCCAACAACCAATGCACTTAAAGGTGTAAATACACCAATCCGGTCACCCTTCAAATATACAAAAAAAATCTTTAACTCAAAATCCAAATACAAACCTGCTGAAGACAACGTATATGTATTTAAAAAAACCATTTGGTATCAGATTTTTTTAACTCGCATACGTTTTCATGATCTCTCCAATTTTTCCTCTTTTTTTTAAATAGCCATAAATGAAAGGAGGAAGGGTACTCCCTGATGGAACTGAGAAAAGTGTACTGAAATGGGAATATTGCTAATGTATTCTGGCACTTTTGATTTCAGTGCCCTTGTGGTCATCCCCACATATTGGAGTTACAAAAGACAGCAAACATTTGAAGTGCTACATGTCAGGAATTTTGCATGCCAAACACTGTTTACATGGAAAGAACCCCACCTCTTCTCCCAATAGGGTTCCACTATGATGTTAAAAATCTCTTCTCTAACAAAGCTAAGAACTAATCCATTTTTACAATTTTTTGCTTCATGTTTTTTTTGGGACTATTCACCCACCATATTTTTTTTAAGTTGGGCTAAGAGTTAAAACATGCATGTCTATTTAAGATATTTCTAATAATTCTAACGTTTTCGTTGAAGTCCATAATACTAGGAATCCTTTCTTCAAATTTCTCACAATCTAATCTATTATCATGTTTATTTGTACTGTATACGTTGTGTTCTATCTAACACCTTAACGTTTCTAAAAATAGTTATTTTATTGAAGTAACTTGTTCTTCAAATTTCTCTTTCTCAGGACAATTTCTATATAATATGAAAAACTGACTTTTGGCACATTTTAATCCAAGGAGGACAATGATAACTATCTGTTTTGATATAGCTGTTAATGTCAACACCTTTGTTCTAGTTTTTATTTTATCATTCTCAAAATAAATGTCCAAATCTAAAAACTGAACTTTTAAAATTAGCTTTTTAATCTGTGATAGAGGACCTGGCCCGCCACCAAGCCATGCCCTCATAGAGTTATCTTTTTTGGTCTCTATTTCATAATTTGGTTACTGTATACTTTTCTATTTTCTACACACTTGTTGTATAGTTCTTGTAAAGCAGTGCTTTTTATTTTCTGTTTTTGACATTCTTACTGTATACTGTTTATAAAGCAGTCCTCAGAGCTTTCTTTCATAATGTCTTGCAAGCTTTAGGAGTTTAGCTTAAATGGATTTAAATTTATTTAGATGACGAATAAGAGTCCTGGAGCTTAGTTTGAGACGGATTCTGCCCTATAGGAGGTAAACTACTAGATTAGGCTGAAAGATAATTACTCTAGCTCTTAGGTAATTTTACATTTAAAATAAAAGATCAATTTAGTTAGTTAACGCTTTCACTAGTGAGAATTTTTTAACTGAAAAAATGCTAACATTTATTTGAGGCGATGGATGCACAGTTAGCATATAGACATATAACATTGCAGTTTTGTGCATTGATTGCTTTGTAGACAAACTTAAATTTTTTAATATTATACATTACACATTTTCTGTAAACAAATCTGTAAAAAAAACATAAAAGCATACATAGCATAATATTGTTTGTAAATATCAGATGTAAAATAAGAGGTAATGGTTCACTCACAATACCCAGAGCCATATATAGCAGGCTCTGGCTGTAGAGGTGGTTGTTAGGTATACTCCTTAGGTGATCTGCCCCACTGCAGGTCCAAGACTCCTTTTGGTGAAAGAATTCTCCAGAGTAATAGAGTATTTAAAAAGATGTTACTTTCAAATAAAGTTGAAAACAAATAAAATAAAGCAAATAATTTGCATATAAATACAGGCACAACGTGTTTCAACCTTAAAGGTCTTTTTCCAGGTACCAGTCTCAATGTCCTTCTTTTTATATCGGGGCAAACAGGAAATCAGTTTTCAAGGCAGAATCTATCGCTATTTTGGCAGGAAAAATTATTTCCTGTTAATGCTGGCAGTGAAATTGTAGAGTCAATTCACTCCTCCCCCTTCCCTGACTGTAGGAATGCTATCACCCAGTGACACTTCCTGTACTATTTGAAAGCAGGGGGCAGCTGATATTTTCAGCAACTTCACATTGATTATATCAGTGATTAATGGCCTTTGATGGATAAATTAATTATTCTACAGGCTGGTAATCATAACTAGAGTAAACAGACTTTAAGGACTAGATTTGATACTGCAAAAATCATGAAAATAAAAACATTTAGACTCAGTTTTGGTACTGAAGTGGTTAAAGTGCAGCAATAGCATTTATTTTATTACTGTTGCAGTGCTAAGAGTGAATTGAAATATGTATAATTATTTTTTGGTTCTTTATTTTTTTAACACATGTCTTTCTAATCTAAGGGTGTAGTATAACATTTTCATTTCTTAATGCCACTGTTTGTTTGTTTTTGCAGCAGTTCTATGCTAGTAGGCCAATCAGGTACTAGTTCAGTGACTAATTTTTGTGTCACTCACTGTGTGCTCGCTTTGCAGTTAATA